GTTTGATTTTTTTTTTTTTTTTGGAGCCGGATGATTTATTTACCTGCCTCAGTGGGAGGTAGAAACACGTCAATACAGAGAGGTACCTCTGTACTCTATGAAGAACTAGACATATACACGTCCTCGGTACTATTGATGGCGTGGCAAGACTGTCTTTCTGTCTTTCTATCTGTATATACCAAGTAGAGTCGATATAAGATAGTTGGCGTAGGGTGATGGCTGCACAAATACAAGATAAACACCCATTGCATAGAATCCCATTAGAAGAGGTATTGTGACACTTCAATCTATATACATGTTCCCTATCATGTGCGAAACCATGGCTCTGCTCTATCCAGTCGAGCCTGCAGGTATTGGTCTCGCCAGGATATGTATATCCAGATCTCTGGAGAGATGTATTTCCAATCTCGGGCGCAGATTGCGCACTCGCTCGAGTAACGCCATTTCCAAACTCCTGAATATCCATTTCGCCTCCCAAACCGTTCAATTGGTGATTTATTCAATTGTTCATTCCATGTCTCGACGTGGAAGGCGCTCCAAAGATGAAACCAATGTTTGGACGTTTCGTTGGGTATATGCGTGAGCTTGCTGTCATTGTCCCCTTTTAAACAATGCCAAGTTCTCAAAAATTGTAGTCGCTTTTTTGGCCATATCGTTCCCCTATTCGTGGCCTTCATAGATAGCTCACGCACATCGTAGCAATGCCCACGGCGAGAAGAGCAAGCGTCCCTGCCTGGACAACGCGGCGCGCGTCGTTGGCAAACGTCGGTGATGGTGCCTTCTTCTGCTCATTTTCGAGAGGTACAGCATCCACGTGGATAGTAATGGGAATGTCAATTTCTTCGTCCAGCGTATTAGCAAGTCCCTCTTCGCTCACAGTCGGTTTCTCGACCTTCCCCTTGGGCAATAGCTCAATCCACTCTTTGCCCACGCTCTTGAGTTTCTCCGTCCATGATTCCGTCTCTTCCACAAGACCATTGGCGTTTGCACTGCCGTCTTTTACGGATTTGTCCTCTGCCAAGGGTGCCTGGGTTGGTAGGCTTCTCTTAGTCCTTACCTGTCCGACGGTGCCCGAGATGGTTCCCAATCCAATTGTTCCTGCAACTGGACTGGGCCATTGATCTGGAATCGGTACAAAGGTCTGTGTATAAACTACGGGCACTTGCGTGAAATCACCCGGTGCCACTTCTTTCTCGATGTAGTAGGTTGTGATCGGACTTATTTGACTGAAAGTTGGAGCGGCGGCGGCACCTTGGCCTGTGACCTGCCGGACTTTCAGTTCAGGCACTGCGTTGGCATCTAGACCGAGGGGAAGAATTCGGTATTCGTTCTCGAGAGGGGTTGGAGTAGGTGTGACCGCCGCGGATGCAGGATAAGGGGTGTTGGCAACAGGGTCGAGCGTTGCGACAGGAATCCAGCGAGCCGTGTCGAGGTTGGCGGGCACTGGTTGCAAGGCGTTATTGTCTATGGGTGGGTGGATATCCAGGGGAACGAAGGCGTAGGAGGTGCTGTAGATGAGGGAAGAGAGGAGAAGTGTCGTGACGGTCTTGGGCGACATTGTGCTGGTTGCGGCTACAGTGTGGTCTGTTGCAGAGGTGAGTGAAGGCCGAGTTGGAAGTTACATCCACTGCGCATGCGAGTATGTCGGTTCAAGGCATGCCCCGTTTCTGGACGATCGCAGGATTTGACAGATTGCGAAAGGTGTTCTCGTCAGATGGTCAAAGTAGGAGGAACGCAGAGTTCAAGTCCCTCGAGGCCTAACTTCGGGCAACGGAATCTCAATGTCGCGGTCCCGACTAGGGGTTGGCTGACATCGAAGCAAAGCCTCAGTAGTGGTCGCGGATGGTCACTGGGAGCCGTACTGCGGGTGCGGACAATCGGGTTGGGGGCGAACAGCTGCTGAGGGCCCAATAACCAAACGAGAGGCAGCAGCTGTGGGTGAGGGACCCTGTGAGTAGTACGAGGCAATGGGATTATGAACGAGAGAGGCGTGCAGAACTCAAGTAAGGGAGGGCTGATACAGAAACAAAGCGGTGCTGACGCGTGGCAGGGATGCCGAGCAATCAAGAAAAGTAACAGATTCGGACTCAGCCACACTAGCCTGATTGGGTCTCCTGGGATACCTGCCGGTCATAAGCCAATCGAAGCTGCAGCTGCCGCCGGAAGAGGTGATTATCCACTAGACACTTCACTAAGCCATATATAGACTAGCACATTTAAATCACCCCGTTACCTCAGCCCGTCACAAGCAAGTTTGAGTACTGTACGAGGTACCTCGTACTCTATAGCTTGACCAGCATTCGCTGGGACGTCTCAGACTCTTCAAAGATTTTATTGTCGGCGAGCGATACACACATATTAGCTGCAAGCTGGGGATACAAATCCAACGGTCCATCCCATTGAGCCCATGATCACAACCAGCAGTGCCAATGCAACAGCCACGCTGCTAGCACCATAGGTCCAAGCATGTCTTCGACGAAGCCCTTGGAGTTCAGCAACCCACGTACTGACTGTCGTCAAGCACCCACAAAACCCTTCCATAATCCCTTGAAGCACAGCACAGGCGTTTGATCCGGACGCAGCGATGGTTTTGGAATGTTGCAAATCAAAGGCCATACCGAGCACCGCCGTCCCCAAGATATTGACGGCGAATGTGCCCAGCGGAAAAGACGGTGCAATAGCGTTCATGTGTTTAGACGCGTAGAAGCGAAGAAGGCAACCGAGCGGTGCGAACACAAGGGGAAACACCGCACGGAACCTCCAGTGTATGTCGTTCCCAGGTGGCCAAATGGCCAAAAAGACTGCTCCAAGCCAACAGCCAAACCCGAGAATGACAGCCATGGGGTCCAAGACTTTACGACAGAATCTGAATGGTAGTGTCGGTGTGACCGGTTGTAGTGCCAGCGCCAGCTGTGCACCTACCATCAACCCTGCTAAAGAGATGGCCGGATGGACGATCAAAATAGCAAGGAGAGCCAGGAATGAAAAGCCACCATTCCTATGCGCGACCACCGGATCCACGTGGTAGGGCAAGGTCGGCGAAGGCGGCTCCAGGTCATTCGTCAAGGCCAAAAAACAGTCGCGGATAAAAGAAGAAAAGGACGTGAATGAACCACAGAAACCCGTAGCGAGGCCGATGTAGAGTGGGATCGTCTTTTTGACCTTGGCATGGTCCGATGCTGGTGCTCTGCTTGATCCCCATTCTTCGCGAAACAGTTGACGGTCTTCCGCCAGGAAGCCAAGGAAGAACGAGCCTCCAAGGTTGGCCCAGAGCACCCGACTCGGGACAGGCGAATTTGGATATAGTGTAATCGCTTCAACCCCGAGTCGTGCCAATGTTCCAAAGAGCGAGAACAAGACCAACCACGAGATTATGTATATCTCTGTCGCGAGGTGCGAAGGCGTGGACTCTAGGTCTTTGGTTTCGTCCTCGAGCTCTTCCCCCTCTTGTTGCGCCTCCTCGAGACTCTTGCGACGAGCTCGACTCTCTCCATCGACATGTTTTTCGCCTGAGGCAAGAGGTTCAGGTGCCGCCAATTCTCCGAGCGCGTCTGTCCGATCTCTCGAATAGTGTCGACTTAGTCGGCGTTCAACGTCTTCTAGCGAAGGACGACTAAGGTCTTCTGGCTGCGCTGGGGGTGGAACAGCCATTTCAGTCAACTCCTCCTCGTCACTTCCCCTTCTCTGTCTCTCTTCTGCCCTTGCCCCATCGTGGTCGTGCATTTTCGTCGCCGCGGACCGTAGACAAAGGCCCTCTCGTGTCTCTCAAAGGGTTGGTTCTTTGGAGGGGTGCTGTCAGTCGATCGTGACACTCTCGACAGAAATCGGTCATAGAAGAGTCGGAAGCTGAGGGTGGGCGCAGGTACCTCGAGTATGCCTGCATCAACAGGAGAATCATGACACAGGCGGATTGGGAAAGGTTGGGGGAATCATCGCGTCCATGCTCCTCCCAGTCAGTGATGAGAGAAGGGAAATGTTTGGGCGCAGCGGAGTAAATGCGGAATCGAGAGCAAATTGCCGTGTGAACCGGAAAGCGTCGCACTCAATGCCATGACGCGCTTTACCAGCATCAGCATCAGCATCAGAGTCTGCTGTGCTTGCGCACTCAGCTGTCCCCCTACCAATTGGGTACCTTGGCTTCACTGTGTATTCGAATGCAGCTGACTGGGCTAACCAAGCCTCTTCCACGGCCCTAGAATTATTAACTGCGTGACTGGTCTCCGCCGAGTGTTATCGAGGCTGACAAGAATGGAGATCGGAATCCGCCGTGGGACGCTCACCATTGACGCAGAGCACATGCCCCTCCCTTTCATGCACTTCCCCACCAACTGACAGCATGCACTGGTACAGCTCTGCCTGCAATCACCAAACGAGAGATGATAACACAAAAGAAACGCGGCCATTGTTACATTCTACTCCAAATTCTTTTGTCTAGCTACAAGTTATCGTCGCATTAATAGTACCTTTCTATGCTGGCGCTTCTATCCTTCTCATACCCTCTTATCACAGTTCTGTCTTTCCTGTAGATATGGCGTCGTCTCTCCCTCCCAATATCCACGTTTCTAAACACCCTTGTCTTCGCGCAAAGCTCAGCCAGCTGAGATCCAAGAGTACCAATGCTCGCGAGACAAAGAGCCTAATCCATGAGATTACCTTGTTGTTGGGGACCGAGGCGCTTGGGCAACTCGACATTGAATCGACTGGAACAGTGAGTCCGTCTTCAGTGTCGTTTGGGGCATTCGCGCTGATCGAGATCCAGACTGACTCGTGGTTTGATGTAGGCTGAGACCCCCATAGGATATGAGTATCCCTATGAGGCCATAAACTGCTCCAAACTCACCGTTGTCCCCATTCTGAGAAGCGGACTCGGTATGGTTGAAGGTGTGTGTTGGCCGATCTCCATGAAATGTCTCTCCGGAAACTGATACACGGCGCAGCAATACAAACTCTCCTGCCTGACTCTGTTTCGGTCCACCATCTCGGCCTCTTCCGCGAAAAGATGACTCTGCAACCCGTCGAATACTACAACAACCTGCCTCAATCCCCGGAGTCAGTAGCGAAACTTGCCATTGTCGTCGACCCCGTCTGCGCCACAGGTGCGACAGCATGTGCCGCGATCCAGATCCTGAGGGATTGGGGCGTTGAGAAGATCATCTTCTTGTGTGTTTTGGGGGCCCTCCCGGGTATAGAAAGAGCCTCTGCGGAATGGCCAGAAGGCACACAAGTATGGGCGGGTGGCATAGACGATGCCCTGACTGATAAAGGCATGATAAAACCGGGTCTCGGGGACGTTGGCGATCGTCTTTTCCTGACCCTAGGGAAATAGCGGCAAGACAGTAGGGTCGACTGACGAGCTGATGGATTTGTTGACAGCGGGAAAGCTCTCGCTGTCTTTGGAGTTATTGGGTTCCGCTGGTGGCCATCTTACCGTCAGCCTCTTAGATGGCTGCTAGGGAATATAGGACCACCCTGTCACTTGAGGCACATGAGCGCTTGATGTCCAAACACTCGTTCGACTGTCCCTTCATCTTTCAGAAGTCTTCCAAGCCATCTTTTTGCGCCATCGACCTCCTTAGCACCGAATTTGACTAGGACGAAGCCCCTCGTCTTTGCCGCAGTCCATAGGATACCGTCTTGTTTTTCCTGTTGTTCAGCCTTGTCAGCCCCTGTCGCCTGTTCTGTGCTTTCGTTTGGCGTCCAGTTTTTGGCTCCGATGCGAGGCTGGCTTGTGAATTTCTGTATGAAGAACTCCCCGAGTTTGTTGAAGACATGGCCGTAAATGATCAACGTTCCAAATATACCCATGTTGTTCGACTTGTCCAACAATCCCGTGCCTCCAAGCCCATCCTCATAGAGCATAACGGCATCGCGAAGCAGGAGTCTTCCTTTTGACTGCTCATCGAATTCCCTGACCTCATTCCTGCCTTTCCAGCTCCATAGTGTCCAGCTCTCGCCCCTTGCGCGACGGCCTTCACTGACCCAGTCCAGCATCAACAAACTGCTGGTGGCGTCAGGCTGCACATAAAATGTCTGCTTCTGCTCGTAGACGCTCTCCGCGAACGGCTGAGTCGGATCTGGCAAATAGCACAAGGAAGCATGAGATCCGATCCTGACGTCGAGGGTTTGTCGGCTGACGACGGACCTCTGAGGAGACTTGAAGATCTTGGTACTTCCTTGCGTGACGAGGACAAGCCTCGTGGCATCTTGCAGGTCGACTTTGAGGGCAATCTGGTCACCACCAACCAACCCGCCTCCATAGGTGAGCAGGAAGACGACCGTCACGTGCTTTCCTTCGCTCGAATGGTGAGGATCAGGAGCGACGAGTTTGAGAGGGTATTGGTATGCACATCTCGAGAGAACTTGCCTCTCTGGCGGGAGGAGGGCTAGAAGGATTTCGCCGCTTCCTGCTACGGACGACGAGGTAGCGAATGGTGAACTCGGCAGAGCCATATCTCGCACACCCAACAACCAAAATGAGAAGAATTGACTGACTAGTCCAGTCTTTGTATCATACTGTGACACCGTTCCTGGAGACTCTCAATGCCGATCAGCGTTAGGAAAACCCTGCCTGAATGTTCAGGGTGCAGTCAGTGGTTGATTAGCTGCGTCTTCCAGGGAGGAATTAAAGGTGTTGACCGCATCGCAAACATCTTTGCCAGTTGTGTGAGGTCCTGGTACATGTACCGAGTAGAGAATGCCCCGGAGAGTAATAGTTTGGCGGGTCTGTGCATGCAGAGGCTGTCACTGGTATCAGGCTTAACTAATCTCGTGGTTTGATGGGCCCTAACGGCGCCTGTATGGGCGGGCATCTCTAAGCTAAAGTGCCTGCAATTAAGCCGAAGTTCACCGGTGCCAGTACTTTGGTCGCCCGCACGCAGCACCTATCCGTAGGCGTTCTAAGTACAGCTGGCGCCCGCCGAGTCCCTCGTCCTTGTAGGCAGTTGCCCGTATCGCCCAAACCTTCCCTATTGTCTAGGCACGCTAGGTTCCTTGTATCGGGCTATCTAATAGGTCCCTGCTCCCTCCCACCCTGCGCACTATCACCACCACTGCAGAACTCCACCTCAATCCACTCTGCGCGTCACGCGTTGCCCTTGCGTGTTAGTTTTGTTGAGGGAGGCTTCATACCATTGACTTTGTCACGCTTGATTCACTCTGCGCAAGTGCGCATCTGCTCGTTTCAGTTGTCTAGCCTTCTCTTCATTCATATTCTGCATTTCCATTAACGCGCCGATTTGTCTGGGTGCCTTCTCGAGCCCCAGCAACGAGCGCTACCAGTAAACCCCCACCAGCGCAAACTCATGGAGCTCGCCGACAGTTCACCGAGTGGCTCGCCAGAATCTCGTCGCAGGTCAGGCAGAGTGGTGCGCAAACCAGCAATCTACTCCCAAGAACAACGCGACAACAGTCTGCCCCCAATCGGTATCGGTAAAAGAAAAAGAGGAGCGAACCCGATCGATGGAGATGAAGAGGACAGCGAGCCAGACGAAGAAGATGAGGAAGAGGATGACGAGGACGAATCGGACGAAAGTGAGCCGGACGAGGAGGAGCTGAAAGACCAACGACGAGCGCAGAGATCAAAAGCAGCAGCGACAAAACATGCAACGAAGCGCGCAAAGACTACCAGCACAACTCTGGCGATTCGGTCAGCCAATATTCAGAGCAAGCCTGCAGCGAGAAGCTCAAAATCAGGCAAAGCCCGCGCTCGACCCAGCCAGGCGCATCAAGAGGGACTCTATGCGGACATGTTCGGCCGGGGATGCTCGCCCGAAGATGCTGCTTCTTCGTGGTTTGAAGAGGTGCGGAAAGATAGCGTCGGAGCGTTGCGAGACCTGGTTAACTTTGTCCTCCAATGTATCGGTTGTGATTCCAAAGTCGAGCAACAGGATATTGAAGACCTGGACTCGGTTCCGAGCAAACTTGGCGACGTGATTCAAGAATACGAGCAGCAAAAGCCCGGGGACTACCCACTTATCTCAAAGCAGAAAAGTTATGTTGGATTTCAGAATGTGCTGGAGGAATTCTTCAGAGCCATCATCAAGGTCCTCCATATGTCCTCGGCCTTCTATGATCAACCTGAAATATACGACAACATTCACGTCTGGGTTGCGACAATGTCAGGTGCAAGCTACAAATCATTTCGGCACACTGCAACGATAATATCCTTGGCTATGAGCACCGCTCTTTGTGAAATTGCAAAGGAGTTGCAGGATACCATGGCAACATTGAAGGCCCAATTAGATGCCGAAAAAAAGAAGAAACGCCCCAACAAGGCCCGAATCAAGAGCATCGAAGAGAGTCAGAGATCTGCTGAGGGTAAGCTTGAAGCTATCGATACTCAGTTGCGAGACGCCTTTGAGACGGTTTACGTGCATCGATATCGAGATGTTGAAGAGAGGATCCGCGCTCCCTGTGTTACCGCGCTGGGCAATTGGATTGTACTCTACCGCAAGATGTTTTTAGAAGGTCAATACCTTCGATATCTCGGCTGGGTCTTGAATGATACGAGTGCGCATACCAGACTAGAGGACATCAAGCAACTGAAGAGATTGTTCAGTAACAAGAACAACATTGCCGCACTGAGAGCTTTCACCGATCGATTTCGGTCGAGATTGGTGGAAATGGGCGCAAGGGATGCCGACATCAACGTAAGGGTGGAGGCTATTGAGCTCCTTGATCGACTTCGGGATGCAGAGCTCTTGGACCCTGATGATGTCGACACCATCGGACGATTGATCTTCGACAGCGAACCTCGAATCAGAAAAGCAGTGGCCAAGTTCTTTGTGTCCAGCATTGAAGACCTCTATCGATACAAAATTGAGGAGTTCGAAGAGGCTCAATACGAGGCTGCCCTTCCGGACGCGAATAATGTGGAAGACTTCATGGTTCCTACTAAATCTTGGATCAAGTACAAGTCTTTGGGCTTGACCCTTGCTGGATACGACAATGATGAAGAATCCTTAGATGGGACGACGACTCAATCTTTACCGGTGACCTCAATTTCAGAGTCGCGGTACACTCTTGCTACCCAGTCGATCTTCCCTCACATGGCCGAATTGCAGCAGTGGGAACACTTGGCTGGCTACCTCCTGTTTGACCACACTTCCATCCCCTCACAAGGCGAGGTAGATGATATTGATTTCCAGGTTCAAAATGCATACAAGCTGGGTGCGGGCGAAGATATTATTCTGCTGCATGTCTTACATGCGGCGGTCAAATCATACCTACAATCCATACTAGACCCGTCGACCGGACGCAAAACCAATGCCACAAAAGATCAGATACGACAAAAACAAGAATTAGCAGCGCAGAATCTTACCACCGTGCTGCCTCAATTGTCGAACAAGTTCGGCAGCACGCCGCAAGCCGCGTCATCCATCCTTCTCATCGAACAGCTTCTGGATATTGGGCTGATCAACGAGCTGCAGAGCGGCGAGGCAAACTATTCTGCCATCCTAGACGACATCGCCAAGCAAATCATGTCGCATTCGAACAGACGAGTTCTCGGAGCGGCCTGCGCGGCTCTCCGGAATGCTCTCAGCTACGAACCAAGTAGGGAGGCCGCACTTGCGAAAATCCAGGAGATTTGGACCGAGTCTATCGCGATGCTGGTAGATCTTCTTCAAGGTGAAGCAGCGTGGACACGGGGTACGCTCGATAAACCGTCACTCACTGAGGTTGCGAACATTATTATTCGTCTCGCTGAGCTCGCAGGTGTGAATGACTGCAGCTATGTGATTGAAAGCAGACTAGGTACTGGTACGTCCAGGAAACGAAAAGGAAATACAAACAACCCGCGGACTCTGCTGGACCTGTTATTACAACTCTTACAGCGAGGCGTACCTGACCAGGACACGGCTGCATTTGCGGAGCTTGAAGATGAACTATGCCGCGCTGTCATCGAACTGTTTTCGCGCTATTTCCGCTGGAAAGTAGTCGTGTGGAAAACCGCAGTCGAAGCCAACGACGAAGCACAGTTGTCGACTACGTCATTGTCAGAGTTCGCTACGACAAAGACCGAGTTCGTGGCTAACATCGCCCCAGTGATACAGATGCGCAAGCATCTTGATCCAGTGCGGTACCAAGCCATTCTGAGTGTGCTGGAACTCTTCACCCTTTGCGCCATAACAAGAAGTTTGAGGCCAGACAAAGGCGACTTGGATGATGACATAAAGCAGAATCTGCGTGGGTTGATCACGTACATTCCAGATGATATCGTCCAGGAAGTCATGATCACGTTCGAAAAGATGGAGCAGTCGTTCGCAAAGAAGACGCATCGTAAGATTGAGTCGAGTGGAAAACTAAAGCCGGGAGGTTTAGGTGGCAGAAACGAGGAAGACGAAGACGATGTTGAAAAGCCACCCGAGGATTCGGACGAGGAGCGAGACAATTCAGATACCGAAGCCGACGAGGACGAAGTGGGTGAAGACGACGAAGGGCAGGGGAGCAGGAGCGCAAAGAAACAAGCAGCCCTCCTGCTAGAAAACAGCTTCTGCCAACTGACGAGTAAATTGATTTTTGCTCTTGTGGGTGGCGTGATTCAGGATGAAAAGGCTGTCAGAGAACGCCTCCTGCTAAATCGTACGAAGCTGGGCAAGAACTATTCCACGATATTGGGATATCTGGATGAGAAGAAGAAGCTGGCGAAGGGGAAAGGAGGAAAGGCCGTTTCGGAAAAGGGGAAGGACAAGAAAGGGATGGGGGAGAAAGAAAAGGCCGGCAAGAAAGCAATCTCGGAGGAGATGGTGCTGGAGGACGATGATATTGAGGATCCTGATGTCCAGCCGGAGGAGGATCAGGATGAAGACGAGGCACAACGACAGCGCGAATTGCTGGAAGACGAGGTGGACGATCACGGTAGTGGAGATGATGACGACGGTGCTGGAAAGAAGCAAGGAGGTCAACCGGCCGAGGGGAATGAGGACGACGACGACAATATCATGGGCGACTGATGGGGATATGTCTTCTCTACCTACCGTACCTGTCTAGGGCCATAGGAATCTGGGCAATGGTCGAAGATGTGGAAAGCCAGCACGAGCAGGGGATCTTGTGGACTGGTGGTTTACAGCAGAGAAACCAAGGGAGGGAGTGATATGAGCGTGTCACGTTTTTCATGTGTAATGATGGTGCTGCACTCATAGTACCTATGGGTCTAAATATTCTAAATCTCGGGGTCCAGAAAGGTGTTGACTGTACCGCATACTGGCGAGCTGGGGAAGGGGCGAACATGTCAATAGGTATGTACCTACTCGGTACATAGGTAATGAACTGGGATTCAGCATAAATCAATAAATAATACGTGCGATAAGCATATGATAAAGGGAACACTACATACTGTGTACTGAGTATATACTAAGTACTTACCTAGTGGGATATCTAGTACGGTACCCTGGTTGCTGGGGTACCTACTGTAGAAGGTACAAAGTAGATATCTGGAAGGTATTTAGGCACATAGGTCCTGGGTACTGTATCGATATTAGGAAGATTCGCAAGGCTGTCATCACTATCACAATGACTATGATCTGGGACGGGACAGGCTCAAACTGGTCATATAGGCTTCTTTTCACTTCTCTGCATTTCTGATGTTCTACTCTCTCTCCCCGCTTTCTCTGTGTATATGAATCTGGTGTGGGCCTTTCTGTCAACTGCATGCGCGAGATGGCTCACGGTCGTCAAGCCGTACGTCAACCACCAGCCACATCCCCCATACATACTATTCTCATCTCTCGGTCGAGGTCCATTGGAACGAAGCCTTTTGCACTCAGTCCATGCGTCTCGATAATTCCCCAGTTTGTCTCTCTGCACAGATCAAACCCCAGAGCAACCATCATCGTAAATATGCACTTTTCCAGTAATACTAGTACAGCATGTGAAATTCCCATATGCAAAAAGTCTTTCCGTCAATGCCTGCTTTTCATGTTGATGCTGACGTTTTCCCTAATCTCTTGTGACAGTGAATTTTTCGCTCTCGATTGTCTGTTCAATGCTTCGAGTGTTATACCTCATCGAAGTCTAGCTGCTTAAGATCTGCACCCTCGAGTAACAGAGGTGAGACCCAGGCTTCTGTGAGCGAGCGCGACTTTTACTCCGCCTTCCCGCGGCTTTTTGGTCTCCCACCACTTTTGACCCTCCGTGCCTCCGGCCGCTGGATATGGTGGCTTGGGATCCATTCCTCATTGTAGGACTTGCCAGTCGCAACAGCCGGGCCATCCGAATCCGATGTGACTCCGCTGTCAACCTTCTTGGTCACTTCGCTCCTCTTGCCGCCCTTAACGGCCTTGCGCTTCTTGGGAAAGTAAGGGACGATCCAGATGGTGTAGAAGAAGTAACCAACGCCAACGGCACAGGCGAGGAGGAAGAAGTACAGGAAGAGACTGGTCAACAAAAATTAGTAAAGATCTAACCAAAGCGTAAAAAGGGGGACTGCTCACAGTTGTGGATCGAAGATGCTCGCGTCCGGCTCGACCACAGTCACAGTGCCATTGAATGCCTGCAGAGTGTAGAACGCGTTCTGCGAACTAATCACGGCAGCCAAGTTGAGTCTTAGATCTTGTGGGTGGAGGTTCGTCTGGAAACGGTATGGCAGAACCTGCTTTTCTCCCGGCGGAATATCAACGGCATATTGAGCGGTGGTGAGGTTTCGAACAATGCGAGGATTCGTGCCGTCAAAGGTCCACAGACTCCCACCAACGAATTGAACCGTGACAGGCTCGGGCTCTTCGTTCAGAAAAGCGAGGCGCGATTCGTAGGGTTTGCCATTGGTGATCTTGATGCCGAAGATTTCCGCATCAGGGAAAGTTGCTTCGACCGAGACGGCAAGAGCGGGAGACTGAGAGGGATTTTCGATCTCCTCTTCCACTTCCTAAGAATAACGTGTTAGTAGTGGGTTCGTGATCAGGGCGCAGCTAGAAAGCGTACCACGTCTGCTTGGGCGAAGATGCCTGCAGCCTGGAAGCCAAAGACTAGGAGAGCGAGATCTAAGAAGCGACCCATTGTAGCGATATGCAGAGGGGAGTTTGTTCCAACAAGGGGTGGAAATGTGGTTGCAGAGACGGCCGGTGGCTAAGAAAAGAGACACAGTTGTATTTTTGCCATTGGGCTCAATCGGGGCAAAGTGAGCTTGTTCATCTTGTTCCTCTAGTGGCGGCTACACGCCAGTCGACAAGTCATGCAGCCGCCGCGCTAACTGACTAAACCTTCCTAAGCGCCTGGTCACGCCAAAAGCAGCTGCAGCACCCCTGTGGCCATTCAGGGCTCATGCCGCCGGCTTGGGGCAGCCTAGAGTGCCCACTCTTGCCCACTGCACATGCCCGCCATGTCCACCAACGCGTCGCCCCAGGAAAAAAAAGGTCGCCCATGCGCCTGTAGTGTCTGGTTTGACGGTTTGACGTGCGCCTCTTCGCATTTGGCCATGCAGGTTCTTTGCTTCGCATTCACCGCCAACAAACACAACAGCACAAGTCGCACGACTTAAAACTCCCTCTCCTTCTCACCTCTTTCTCTCCTTCAATCCTCTCGTCCCACCTCACATTTACACCACACTGACCCCCCAACCATTTTGGTCCAAAACGTTTCCGACTCCCACTCAAATGCCCGACATGGCGCGTTACGATCCGTTTTCACCGACCTTCGACCATCCCCTGCTCAATTCCAGCCCAGATTACAGCTCCCGGAATGGTTCGTTAAGATCTAGTCGTCCCATTGGCGATATGAGTAGTGCTGTCACAAACCCGTTGTCCTTCCGCGAACGAAATAAACGACTACGAAGCTTTGAAGAGGAGAGAAACCAGTTGATTGAGGTATACACACCCACACACCTAGGAACCACATATGCAGTCGTGGCTAATGACAAATATTAGGAACTTTTGTATCAGCTTGACAGTACTCAGATTCAGCTCGATCGATTGCAGCTTGAGACCAGCAGAGAAGCCCAATATAACAGAGAGGGCCACCAGCGAGAAACCACCCTTCGCGAACAGCTGATGCAGGTCAAGGCAATTATGGTGCGGTGCCCAATACCAAGCCGTGGACTTTGGTGACTGACTCTTCTTTCAGGATCGTAACCCTTTCATCACGGTCCTCCTCGATGGCGATAGTATGGTTTTCAAAAAAGAGTTATTGTCTCAAGGAGAAAAGGGCGGCAAAGAGGCGGCAAACATGATTTTTGAAGCCACGACGGCATTCGCTGCAGAGCATCTACACCATCTCGACTCTCCAAAGATCCTGGTACGAATTTATGCCAATGTTAAAACATTGTCCGAGACCTTGACCAAGTTGAAAATCATCGAACGCCCATCCTTACTGGACGACTTTGTGCGCGGCATGAACAGCACTCAATTGTCCTTTGACTTTATCGACGCTGGAACTCGAATCGACAGCACCAAAGAGAAGGTTCTGGACCAGTTCAGGACCAACCTCTATGATTGCCATTGTCACCAAGTCATTCTTGGATGCTCCGGTGACAGCCGTTATACGAAGGTACTTGAAGACACGATAAAAGACGCCACTGTACTTAGTCATATCACCTTGCTGGAGGGCATCCCGTTTGAAAAGGAAATTGCTACTCTGAGGGACAACTTCAAGACTACGAAATTCGACAATGTCTTCCGCGTCACAAAGCTAGCTGTCACAGGCGGGATAGCCAAAGGACCACTACAAGCAGTCACGGCAACACTACCGGCTCTTTCGCGTGTCGAGTCGAATGGTACGAACGGATCTACCTCAAGTTCAAGCACACCCGCCTTGACGTGGGCCTCGCTGACCGCCCAACCTTCGGCGCCGGTTTCCAAAGCGCCCAGCACCACCCGGACCTCGACTCCAACTTCGATGAAAAGTCCTGACGCTGTTGTCGCAAAGCCTGTGGCCAAGACGATTGAGAGAAACCGGCATGGCCAGCGTATCGACAAAGTCGATTCCTCGATCCCCAATCACGAAATCCAGCGGATTAAAAAGCTTAAGCTTTGCAACATATTCTACCTGCAGGGTGCCTCGTATTGCACCACTAACAACTGTTCCCACTCCCACACTTATCCCCTATCCAAGGGCGAGCGTAACGTGTTGCGAGAAGTCGCCCGCATGACTCCTTGTTATTACAAGTTGGACTGCACCGACCCTGAGTGCATCTACGGACACCGATGTCCTCAGAACAAGCCAGACGATTCGGGCTGCTGGTACGGCGAGGACTGTCGGTTCTTTGGCTGGGGCCACGGGATCGACACCAGGGTGGTTAAGACAACCAAGGTCTGACCTTTGAGCTTTGAGCAGGCCGGATGAAGGAGAGATACGTTGATGGTGGTGGTGGTGACGCTGTTGGATGGGTAGGTGTAGTAGGTATTTACGACTCTGAAACTTTGAACTCGCCGCGCGCGCATCTGTGTACGTGCTCGCGTCGAAAAAGGAACGACCCGCACTTTTTGTTTCAATATAATCAAATCAAATCTTACGTGTCTCGCTTTGTAAAAGGCTGGCAGCCTTATCAGGATCGTCGTTGAGAGAGAGAAATAGAGATACCCACTGGTCCTGAATCAATGTCGTTCCTTGCGTCTTTTCACTCTCTGTGTTTCATTCAGCCTCGGCCGCTTGTCTACTGTATCTCTGCTGTTCACCGACTGGGTAGACTGAGCGAGTGGATTGACGTAAGCTCCCTTCTGGACCATCGCTTCTTCAGAGGATCAAGGAGAGACATGGTACTTGTATTTGGCTATTGCTGGTATGCTCTCTAATGGGCTATCGGGTCTGTCAGTCGTTTTACATGTCATCCTTCGTCGGTCCTTCTGTCTTCTATCTTCCAACTTCCTCTCCATCTTGTCATTCTGGCCCTTATCGTCAACTCCCAGTGCTCCATCCTGTTTCGCCCACCATCCGTCTCAACCTTATGCTTCGTCTTCAGGAGCCAGCGTTACAAGATCTCTGAGATCCTCATTGTCACCCTCGTCGGGATCGGGATTGGACATATCTGCGTTCGTCGCCTTGTCCAATTCTTTCCTCGTAGACTCCCGTCTCACAATGTGCGGCTGGAAGCGGGAAGTCTCCTGCACTCGTAGAAGCAGACGACCTTCAGCTTTCTCCTTAACAAATAATGTTCCTTTGGTTGCAGCCCCGGTCCGCCTTCTTTTGAGCAAAAGTGTGCTCTTGGCCACAGACTGCTTGAACCGCAGATTCTGTTTCAAGTAGACACTGGGGACCCTGTATCCTTCCATGGTCTCGACCCAGACTTGGCCCTCGAACAGATCAGTTAGAGCGTTCCATGGCCCCCAAGCTTCCCCCTGCGAGCCATCCGGTTCGCGGTAACGTAAGAAAGCGCCATCCTGGTCTGGCATTTCCCGGTATGGATATCTCAGCGTCTTGACGGTTGGTATCACGGCCAGTTCATTGAAGGCGGAAAACATGGCGCCTTCTGAGGCTCCACGACGTCGTGTAAAGAATGAGAGTCGCGGCGGTTCCTGACATCTACCATTGTAAATGGCAGATTGGGCCGTCTGGACCAGCACCAGCAGACAGTCATTTGCCAGGCCTTCAGAGCGCCCAAGTGTTAGATATTCGCGAAAATCAATGCCTTCAACATCAGAATTCACAGTATTGATAAGTACAGTGCATTCCATTATACCCCGCCTAGACGCGTCTTTTGGGTCGTGAAAGTGTTCGAAGTAGCACCTTTGAAAAAGCTGTCCACAGAGTCTGGGAAGCCTAAGACGCAAGTTGAATAACGACGGCATGCGTTCCCTCAACAAAGGACAGAAATGCGGCTGGAGTGGTGGGCAATATTGAAAGCAGGCATCGATAGTATCGATTTCCAAGTGTTTTACCGAATTTGGCAAGGCGTTGAGGATATATGGAATTGCACTGTGCACAGCTCTGCATCTGGTCTTATTCTGTGGTGGATAGGTCGGGATCACCAGACTGAAACTCTCCAGCTGTACCATGTCCTGCACGATCCGAGGTATGGTGTGAATCGCTGTCCACGCATCGTCGTTGAGCTGCAAGTCGATGGATGCTACATTGAGAGCCTCGTGGCATGGTTCCGCATATTTGAGGTCGTTGCAGGAAATATTGATAGAGAGCGTCCGAGTCAGCATCCGGCCGGAAGGCGAGGACTCTGCCAACTTTGCGAGCTTGAATTCTGTAACCGAGATGTCGGTATAGAGCACCTCGGAACCTATTTGACGCCAGAGCTTGCAGACACCGAGCGTCTGGGGCAAAGTTGGGGAGGGGTTCGCGCAATGGTCAGCCTTGAGGCAACGAAACACCTGGCGCATCAATTCCGCAGGGAGGGTGTGGGCCATGGCGCAAGTCGCGGTGAGGGACAAACGAGGGATATTTGATGAAAATATTGTATCTGAGAATACAACGTCTATCGCTGCGACGTGAAATTGGGTGTAAAGGCAAAGAGGGATGCTGAAAAAGACATGTAGAAGAGTCGCAGATGACGGGCCGAGCACTTTCCACTGATTGTTCGCCTGGCTGGTAGCAGAGGGAGGTGCGAGCCTGAAGTCAAGTCGAAATCGCCTCCGTTTCCATGTTGAAACATATTTACCTACCGTCGAAGGTGTGAATGGATTAGGTCGTTGTCTTCTCGGCTCCTAGAATCATCCTGGTGTCAGTTGTTGAGAGCGCTGGTCGACCCTGTAGTATACCTCACAACGTCGACCAGGCTACGTAACTTGTGTACGCCTCTTTCAAGCGGTCATAACATCTCGGCCGAGGCCTTTCTGATTGAAGTATATCCTCTCGGCCCTGTTTGAATGAGATCGTGTTCGGGGGGATGTTGCCAGGTGTATCAGTGGGTGCCAAGTCTGTACACTGCACCGTTACGTCCAGAGGCCGCGCACCTACAGCTCGTCTGGCACATATTGTCGAAGACACTCCTTCTATTTGAAGCCTCCTCCACCTCCCATTCGGGTGCTAGAAGTCGTTGTAGATCCTAGACTTCAGAAGGTAAGCAAGATCTCCCTTTTGGCTTTGGCCGCGGGTCGAGGAGCGTTTGCATCAACAGACCCTATCCTGGTACGAGCAGTCCTTTCATGGCAAGAATCCTTTTTGTTCTAGATCATACTCCAGCCTGATCTCGAGCATTCAGAGAGAAGGGCTGTGGAATCACGTTGGCTCCGTGGCGGCACTTCTGAACTATTGTGAGGCTGAACAGCGATGACTGAGTTAGAGGTCGTAGGAAAAGCGCTGGATTCTTGTCCTTGCGCCCGCTCCATAAGTTATCCGCAGACAGGACAAGTCCATTTGCGCATACCAGGCGCGGCGGTAAACGGAAGTGGTGGTGAATTGGGGAGCTCTGCGAGGCAGTAGGACTCGTATCTATCAATGAAGTCGGCAAAATTATTTACAATATGTACGTGTCAAATGTCACCTGCACTAAGACTAGCAGTACCACACGGCGCCGGATCGCTTCGGGCCCTGACATTATTGGGGGCCCAGTGGAGAGTCTATCAGGCCTAGTGGGAGTTTAGGGAGAGGGGCGGGCGAGGCGGGTTTACTTGGTCCCAGTGCCCCTAGAATATGCCTAGCAGACCTTTGGTGAATCCGCCCCGGAAATAAAGGGGAGCTCCACCACGATTTGATCTTGAGGACAAGCAGATATGGATTCTTCCGGATGAGGCATTTTGTGCTTCTTGTCTTGAGGTGTGCAAATCGCCCATCCTCCATCGCTATTATCATTATCATTGATTACAGGTAGGTATTCTTGTACTCGGGTACACAGTTTCTATCGAAGTTTTATTCCTTGTTTTCCTCTTCCGTGGACGGGCTTCTAGGCCTCGCACTTGCCCTCCTCAAAGGCTTTGTGCTCCCTTTCAATCTCAATCCTAACCCACACATAAGATACAGCTGCCCAAATGGCGATGTATGCAAAAAGAACACCCAACGAAAGTCCAAAGGCGTAGTGGAACTCCAGGGTCCAGATGACGGCGGACACGCAGCCGATGTACGTGCACACGCCCAGTAACCACCACCACGTCAGGTAGCGAAACAGGTTGCGAAAGGCTTTGTTGTTCTCGTATCGGTCGTTATAGCGGACGCGGAACTCCCGGTCCTGGAGGCCGTCGACGGCAATGAAATCTTCGGCGGCATAGTAAATGAACGGACGCAGCTTGGTACCTCGAGGCTGCGAGTTGATCCCAATGGGGATATTGATGGGGAGGATCTCGGTGAGGAGCATCAAGATGCCCAGAAATCCCATGATGAAGGTCGGAGAGTAGAGATAGAGATGGGGCAGAACCAAAGAGCTGCCGACCACGAAGGGGATCAGGGCCAGGATCATGGCGACCCCATACACCCACGACGTAGCATCCAGCTCCCATTTACTCCTCGACAATAGAGGTGCGCAATCTGCAGTGTGGACAAACAACCTGTAAACCCGTGCAATCAAGATCCAAAGTTCACCGACACCGAAGGAAATAATGGCGTATCCCAAAATGTTTTCGTCATATTCTGGTTTTGGAAGCGGACACTCTCCCGGCGTGCTGTTGAACTGCTCGCGGCATTCCCGCTCCCACCGGTGTTTGTGTGAGTTGTACCATGTATAGTAGATGATGCAAGGGACGACGATATCGAAGATCAAAATTGCCGGCAGCCCAAGCGTGATGCCCAAGTGCTGCATCGGGTGCGCCTCCTTTTGCATCATCCTCGTCTCTTTGCGCTTCAGGCGCGGGAGAGTGCGAGAGGATGAAGCATATGTAGTAGCTCTGTCGTGAAGTTCAGGTCGCGTCGGCCTGGCCGGCGTATCGCTGTCGGCGGCGGGTGGCAGCTCTAAGTCGGGTTTTTCTTCCAATCCAACGCTGGGATGTTCCAGGGTTGTACCGCTGTCTGGAGTATCGCTGGAATCTGGTTGTTCTGCGCGCTCCTGTTCTGCCAGAATTTCTTTCTCGGGATCAACTACTGGCAGCCCGTCATTGTTGTCGCGCCAACTCACGCCCCCCGTTGTGGGACGAGCGTCTGACTCCTCTTTCTCCATCGAGGCCTAAGGAGTAGTGTGATTTCGCTTTCGTTTCTTTTTGCTCGCTTCGACGCTTCGTATGTCCTCCTTCACCTGTACCCTAAAACACCCTCCTGATGATCGGAAAGACAGAGTACGCCTCGGACGGAGTAAGAGGGACACCCTCCATTTAAGAAGCACGTATCCCTGAATTGGGGAGCGGACATCGTACGTTGACTCAGCCAACGGCATTATATAAGTCATGGGATTTGCGGCAGAAAATTTGAGCCTTTGGCGCGGAACATCGGGCCCATGATCCACATCACACGCTTTCTATTCGTGCTGTTGGCCTCTGGTGTTCGACGACCCCCTGCAGATCTGTCCGCCGGGGCTTCCGCTTGGGATTCCCATCTTGCCCTTCTCTTGCCGGTAGCCAGTCCGCATCAACGTCATTGTTTACCCGTTCGAGACACACACTCCCAAAACGGCTTTGATTTCAGCCATACATCAAAGGATTAGGCATTGTGGTTGACTCACCGGGTGATGGGAGAGGACGCTGGTTGTGGGACAAGAGGAGGCAATTGAGCCAGGACGAGGCGTTGTGTCGACTAGGGCGTTTGTGGACTCGCCATTGTATATTAGTTTGTGCCATTATTGAGGAGCAGAGCCCCGTTTCAGTCTTGTAGTAACCAGCAGCTCTGGAGAGACGCAGGGACAAATTAGGAATGGACTCGAGTGTCCCTGAAAATTACCACTTTGCACCGATTCCTGGACATCTGTACGAGTACTGTAGACGCAGATAAAGTGTAGGTGATGATGTGCCCGAAGTTGTATCTTCTGCCTCTACCTTCCATGTTGAAAATCGACAGGATGAGCGGCCGCTGTGCCGGCGTCTGGGCATGAGTGTAGCCGATTCGTGTAGTAAGCCTTCATCAGCCCCTGGACCCTTCCAGGCGGAGCCCATGTCGGGGCAGGTGATTAGGTAAAGAAACTGGTCTGGGAGCTTGGAGCATGTCGGACAATCAACCGCTACCACCACATTCCGCACCACTACGTCATCGTCGTCGGCGCCGTCTCGGTTTATCCTTCGTCTGGATACGAGGCAGCGCAAGATGCGTGTCCCAATCTTTTGTGAAATTGCTCTCGTTCAGACTTCTAGGTATGAGTCTCTCTACATGACCGACTGCATCGTAGACAATATGGGGCGATAAAACGTTCCACTTCCATAAGTATCTCTTGAGTTGTCTCAGAGCTCTATGACAGCCCGCCTTAATCGCTGTGCTTTTCAGATGTCTGTGACTAACTCGGCACAGACCTCTTCTCTTAAGCTGAGGCTGTTGCTGTCAAGGTTGCAGACATCCTCTGGCTCTCTTTGTAATGTACCACCGCCAGAAGCATGACAATGACCTCCTCCATCAGCGCTTCGCTTCTCCAGCATGGAGCAAGCATTTCCAGGCTGCCACCCCGCTTCATACTCTTGTAGTTCGGCTTGTATCTGGCAATGGCCATGCCCTGACCGTCCAAGAGCACAATGTTCAAGTCGTCAAGCTTCGACCGGGGTTTCCAGGTCATCTTTTCCCCACCAAGCTCGGGGGACGCCCACCAGTGCTGGGTCGCCATGAACCCGGACGATTCCAGTGTGAGTGGCTGCCCACGGAATCTCAGGTCCATCCGCGTGGTCAATGAGTGGAAGTCGACGGTGGCCACTTCGGCGTTGGTGGTGTTGGAGTGTATCCTCATCTGCGGTTTCCGGTATCTTGCGTCCACCGTGTAAATGGCGGTTGTTTTGTCTCTGTCCAGAACATTGATTCTCGTATGTTGATTCCAATAATCCGCGTACTCGACGTACATGGTGCGAGATTCCGAGCCAGGCTGCGATTGGAAACTGTGGTCGTTGACATCCTCGTCTGGCGCAAGATCTGACCCCAGGCCATCCTGTTCCTGATGTCTCTTGAAAGGATTCTTCATTTTCGGTGTACTTGTATAACTATTTTCAAATTGATCCGCCAAAGTCAATGTCTTTGCATCTTGGGAGATAGGAAATAGGGTACTCGGGTAGTGGGATCCGGGCTTTTATGCTAGAGGGTGTCCGACGGCAAGGGAAGTTCACGTAGGGCCAGCAAGGCGAAGTATCATGGCTGTGAAAGAGTGATCGACCCAGTATGGTGGCAGCGTCGATGAAGATCTTGGAGAGGGACCCCAACGGGCCTTAAGTCTGGTGAACGTGCAACTACTGGAGTGGCGATTCGGCCAAGTTCAACGATCGTCCAAGCCTTGTAGACTCACGTTACGACGAAAATGCTCCGCCACACGATCTCCCAAATCTCGTATTCTTATCTGGAGCAGTGCCACAAGGACATTGCTAGGTACGGAAACCTGAGAAGCTTCGAGTGCGCAAATTCGCTGCTATGAATACTTTGGTACAGTACTGGGAAGCATCCGAGACAATGTGAGCAGAGATTACGAGACAGTGGGAAGACAATGAGCTGGAATATGTGACATGTTGCTAGGAAGCTCACTAAGTACCTATTCCTGACGCCACGGTGTTGGCTACGGCTCAATCTCATGCTGCCATGCTGTCTATGCTCACAACCACTCAAAGCCCATCATCTGGAGTCCAATATTTGTGCCAACGTTCGTCGGTTGTGCTCGCCTCAACATCTTTCTTGTCATAGAAGCGGAGATCAGTGCTCAAGCGGATGCGGCCAGTAGGGTCGTCGTTAGCAGCCGCGGTGTGAATGGTGTATGGCAGATGAAAGACTACATCACCTGCCTCGAAATCGGCAACAAGCCAATGGTACTTCGTCTTCCTGGCCAGGTGCTCATTGTCTTGTTGGAAAACCATTGGATTCAGCGACAGGACGCCAGTGGCAGACATATTGCGATTGAACGCTGATATCTTCTCCTCCACAGTGAAGTCTTTGGCGCGTACCTCAAAATCATCCTCAATGGCCTTGCCGAGATTGGTGCTGTCTTCGAGATAGACAAGCCCACCTCCTGTGGCAGTGATATCCCCGATGGGTACCCACGCCGTTAGGAAGAACGCGTGGCCTCCGCGAAGGAAGAGCTTATCGTAATGAACGCCAGTGCTTTGACCTCCCGGGATATTATGTCGAAGCATAGTTCTTTTGACGAGGACCTCCTCCTCCCAGTCCATGATATTGCGGACCATCGCGCGCAACTTCGGGTGCGCCACAAAGTCTAGGTACGGTTGTTGGACATGAGCTTTCACAAGCTGGTCCAATTCGTCGTGGCCTGCTGGACCTCCACCACCGATTCCATTGTGCAGCGAGATATCTTCGGCCATGTTGTAGATACCGTCGACTGGCTCTGTGTCAGGCTTCAGTAATCTCAAAGACTTGAATTGGCCAAAATAGTGTTCTCGCATCTTCAATACATCGTCGCGCGGTAGAAGTCCTTTCACAAAGACATACTCATCCTCAAACAAGCGACGACGGATCTCTTCGATCGGAGTTTCACTCGGGGTCTGGCGCAGCCAGCCCAGCATGGACTGGGGGATCGAGCCTTGGATGGCACCCACGGTAGGAGGAAGAGGTTTCGTAGCTGAGAGTGAAGTCACTGCCGCCATTGAGAGATACGCCGAGGGTTCAACTTGTGTTGAGCCGTGATTCTGGAGGAACATGGGTTCTCCGACACTGTAGGAAGTGCATCGCCATCTTATCACTCGGTGCACGCTGCGCAGTGCGTCACAGGCTTCACGGCACAGAAGCAGCGGGTCTTATACCATCCATTCATCATTGAGGTGGGCGAGGGACGACAGGGGAGGTTGGTTGGTCCAGGTTTAGGTTGAGGACTCGCACATTTAAATCCATACTACTCTCATACTCTCTGCGTGCCTAAGTGGCACTTGAGTGAGGGGGCAGAGAGGTGGCCTGTGGGTGCTTCCCCGAGAATCTAGACCTGCAAGTAATATAGAGGTTGGTCACTTGAGTTGGCCTAGGTGCACGACTTGTAGGCGGCTTAGCCTGGTGCCCCCTGGTTAAGCTTGGAACTCTAGTTAAGCTTAAGAGCAGCCCAGCGTACTCGTAGGTGCTTGGCCCTTTCATCGTGTCTTGCACGATTCACCCTCTGGTCTGGTCACAGCAGCTGCTGCTTTACTCGGGTACAAGGAAGCTGCCGCTTTACAAGCTGATAGAAAAATGAAGAACAGGCCACTGCCACCACTATTATCATGATCAACCACCAATTCTTCGGCTACTCCCTCGTCCAGTCACTTTCTATACGAGCGGGTAAAGAGTCTCGTGGACCCTGACACAGGCGGAGATCAACATGGGTGAGTCCCGATACCTATTCGTGGTCAAGGATCCCAAATCCCAGTCACTCTCCAGAAGCAGTGATCAGGAGAGACGATTGATCCACCGTCATGTCCAGATCGGCAGCATGCATCGCCGGCGACTGTCGCTTCATTCCAAAATCCACAAGAGTGAGCAATTGCCATTCATCCAAGTCAACCCGGGTATCAAAGCTGGGACCAGCAAGAGACCTGAGATACAAACCATTCCTCGTGTGCCTGCAGACGAATCGCACATCATCGACCCCTTTGTATCGACCGTGGTCAATGTGGATCGCAAGGCCCATACTCTGCTGCAGTATTTCGTCCATGTTTCTCATCCTAGGACGTGGCATTCGGAAGTGCAGAATGATCGCACCTATACCTTTCAGAAGGACGTCTTCCCATTGGTTAAGGGATGTCTTGAGAACGAGGTACATTTCTATACCTTGTTGGCTTCCATGGCCAGCCAAATGCAGTACTTTGAGCTGATGCACCGAGATGAGACCACGAGTCAAATGGCAACTAAAGCCATCGTCGCCATTCGACAGCATCTCAGGTCTTCGCCTCCAATTGACCAGAGGCTTATATTCGACATTCATCAAATGGCGGTGACAGATTTCTACCGATATGAACTTCAGTCGGCTCTCATCCATCTCACGGCAGTCAAAAGTCTTCTTTCGCATTTAGGGGGCATTGAACGAATTGACCCTTCACTGCGCGAATGGATCGTGATTGGGGATGGCTACCTAGCAGCGGAGCTCCTTCAGAAGCCAGTGTTTCCTGCTTCTTGCTTCGACCCGGGCGACCTAGAACTGGTCCACGAGGAAATTATCAGTGACCAGACTGATTCCACAGCGAAATGGTTTCAGGAACCACGCCACTTTAGGATTCTGCCAGCCCAAATGTATCAAGTGCTCCTGGATTTGGGTGCGGTGGTGAATGCCATGCAGCATCAATCTGGAACACAAGCTTCAAACCCAAATAATCCTGCTGGATCTAAGTCAACCCTTCATTGGCTCCTTCTCCGAACAAGTGCACTCAGGCACCGACTTCTGGAACTCGAGACTGATGATGGTAAAGTGGACGCGGTTAGGATTGTCTTGATCGCATGGCTATTCATGGTGATGACCGTGACGGGTCGCCGTCGAACATGCAGAGTCCTCGCCTCGAAACTGAAGTGTCGACTTGAAGCAATGAGAAGCGAGGATTGGGTTGGATATGGAGAGGTCCACCTGTGGGTGCTTCTTGTTGGCACCATGTGTTGTGATGGAAATACTCGAGGATGGTTTCTCACCGAGATCCAGAAGGCAGAGCATCCGGCTCACTGGGACTCGGGCAACGCGTACCGGGAAGACGAGCTTGTACAGTTGTGCAGCCGCTTTACCTACCTCGACACGTATCTGCACACCTTGTTGCAAACTCTCACCAGCGATTTGAACGCTTTAGGACCACTGTGAGGACTAGCATAGAATACAAGGGGTGATTTGCGACTGTTGACCTGATATATGAGTACCTCGTAGGTGACCCAAGGCTGCAGACACGTGATGGCCAAGCAACAAGAGCGTATGACGCGATGCTGCAGCTGCCCGCATCTCCTCGTGTCCGTCGTGTCCGTCTCCTTCTCCACCTCCACTCCGCCTACAAGTACAAAAGGTACTCGGCACCAAGACTCATCGGAAATCCTCAGAGACGCACATCCACGACTCGTGCAAGCTTACCTGCCATGGCTTCGACCGCTCTGGCCTTCACTACTCCTTCGACGCTTATGAAACACAGCAAACCTCGGACAATGAACCACTGACTTCTCCGAACAGACGATTCATTAATCAAACTGCGCCCTCTGCGCTGCCGTCCTTTCCCGGCCAAGCGCCCGATGCTCCCATTAAGCTTCCAACCTCCACATTGCGACCCCATCTCCATCCAGGTTCGACCGAGGTTATATGCCACGGAAATCGATGTGCGGCCTGGAAATCGTTGTGCGGCCTCCAGAATGCCTACAACGTCCCCAGCTTTCGGGGGCGGTCCTAAATGTCTATCTCCAGCCCGCCCACTTGCACGGCGCGGAGTCGGCTTTATGTTGGATGCCGCCCCCTTGACAATTGATATTCTTCCCAAGATTTCCTTCCCTCGACTCTATAGCTCTACAGTCGGCCTCTCTAGCTGATCTACTTGAACTCCAGAATCGGTGCCGCAAAAATGCCCTACGCGAGCCCTTACCCTCCCCTGGATATTCCAAAATGCAACATTCTCTCCTACGTCTTTCCCCCGGAGAAGACGCCATCCAACAAGCCACTATGGATGGATGCTGAGAATCCCTCCAACAGTCTCTCGCCGGCCCAGATGCTATCATGGGTCAAGAGATTTGCGGTTGGGCTGGACCGACTGGGCGTCAAACAGCAACAAGCAGTCATGGTCTTCACGCCGAACCATCTCTATGTCCCGATGGCGTATCTCGCCGCGGCTGGGTCCAAGCGGTTCTTTACTGGCGCCAATCCCATCTATACAGTCAATGAGGTCGCCCATCAGATGAAGGCAATTGAAGCGGCGATTGTGCTCATCCATCCGTCCTTGCTCGATACCGGTGTAGCTGCGGCCAAACAAGCCAATATTCCATCAGAGAGGCTTTTTCTCTTCTCTGACACTGAGTTCCCAGTCACGAAAGGTATCAAGGATTGGCGGTCTATGGTCGCTTCAGAATCGGAAGCTGAGTCTTGGAGATGGGATCCTCTTGAGGGGGAGGCTGCCCTGCAAACTGTTGCCGCCATCAATTTTTCGAGCGGGACCACTGGCCTGCCCAAGGGTGTGTGCATCACGCATCGTAACCTCATTTCGAACGCGGCGCAAACCATCTTCAACAAATACGAGGGCACTCAGTACTCTGAACAAAATCCCGGTCCTGAGCGCTGGCTTGCATTTCTTCCCTTGTATCACGCCTACTCGCAGCTGTGGACCATCAACATCGCATGCCGACTTCAAGTCCCCGTCTATGTCATGCCTAAGTTTGTGTACGAAGATTTCCTAAGGTACATTCAAAAATATCGAATCACAACACTCCAGCTGGTACCACCGGTACTTGTCATGTTGAGCAAACGACCTGAAACGGCCAAATACGACCTCAGCAGCCTCAAACAGTTTCTTTGCGGCGCGGCACCGCTCAAGAGTGATTTGCAAAATGAGATCATGACGAGATTTAATGTTGTCGTCGTTCAGGGCTGGGGTATGACCGAGACAACATGTGCCGGCATCATGATGCCAGGCATGACAAAAGATCTGACGGGCTCGATCGGATATCTGCTACCGAACACCGAGGCGAAGCTCATGGACGAGGAAGGAAACGAAGTGACGGCGGAAGGCGAACCAGGTGAGCTCTGGCTGAGGGGACCACAGATGCTACTTGGCTATTGGAGAAACGAACAAGCCACCAAAGAGAGTAAGACAGAGGACGGCTGGTTCAAGACTGGCGATGTGGCTGTCTGCAAGGACAAAAAGTGGTGGATCGTCGACAGGAAGAAGGAACTCATCAAGGTCAACGGCTTACAAGTGGCACCTGCTGAACTAGAGGCTGTCCTGCTCGAGCATGAAGATGTCGCCGATGCCGCCGCCGTGGGCATCACTGTCCACGGCGAAGAGCTACCACGAGCCTATGTGGTTCTACAAGAACGCGCCAAGGGCAAGACGACCGAGGAGGATATCAAGGCTTTTGTGGCAAGCAAAGTGGCTCGGCACAAACGATTGGCAGGTGGCGTCAAATTCATCGATGAAGTGCCCAAGTTGGCCAGCGGCAAGATTGTGCGCAAATTGATGAAGGAGTGGGCGAAGAGGGATGCTCAGGAGGTTGAAGGCACTGTGAAAGCAAGATTGTAGACAGGGTCTGTCTCTGGGCAACCAGTGCGTTTCCGGTCCAATACATCTACCAGCGATCGACCTGATATCGAGGAGAGGTCAACGCCACGGATCTCGGTTCAGTATCTGCAAGATGCACCCTGGACCTACTAAAAGCAATCCTTATTGCTATTGAAGCCAGACCGACCCCTATCAGCAGCGAAGAACCCTCAGAGCAACTTCAAATGGAACCTCGGATGGACTACCTTTGCCTGGTATGGAACGAAAGACCCAGATGGGTATATGGCATTGTACAGACGACAATAGATGGATACAGCGGTGGACGGAATGTTCAAAGAGACGGTGAGAGAATCTAGAGAGCCTTCAATATGGCGGTAGAAGCATCGAGCAATCGTATCAGGAAGCAGTTGCCGCACCTTTCTTCATCAACTCATGTCGAATCTTTCATTTTCATCTTCAGTCTCACTTCATCCTGTCTTCATCTTTCATCTTCGCTTTTTTCCCCTCTCTCCTCCTTCAACCTCTCGCGGACGAAGCGCGATCCTTGAATGCCGAACAACACAACTCTACTCTCTAACGTTCATCCCCCTTTCAATTTATCCTCGTCCTTATCATCACGTTCACCTCACCATTATCAGGCCGCGGTCAAACGACTTGCTCTCGAACAGATCTTCTCCTGCCATCGCTGACACACCTGTCTGTACCAAATTTGTCCGACGCGATGACGGGGTACTTGTACGACTGTCAACTCCGCGACGATGCCGTCCGCGTCCGTCGTCGTACCGGACATGAAAAGATCAATGTCTGCTTCAAGCGCACGGTCAGAGTTCCGGACAACTCTGACACATCTCAACTGCCTCCAGACCTGGGTAACTTTCCTCTCTACAAGGTTCAAGACTACGCGGATTCCCTTTCCCCTGAAATGGTCGCGAAAGGCGGAGTTTTCTTGCCCATGTACCGTATGTACTTTCCACTTGCGCCTCTATCAAAGCTGACTTGTCTCCCAGAACGCGAAGCAATGTGGATCAGCTTCACTGCCAACTCGCCCTTTGCCGTCAAGGTGTACGTCGGCTGCGTCAACGCCATCTCTGGAGAAACTGCTGCCGAAGACGCTTCTACCAAAGCACGTCGCCAGCTCCGAAGAGCTCAGGGAAAACTTATTCAGGATTATGTGACCGTCCCGGGTCAGCGCTGGCTGGACGGCATCGCGTCTGGCAATGGAGTAGTCAAGCAATTCGTGGCCACGCGACCAGGTGAGGGATATACGGTCGAAGCACAAGTCACTGGTCACGAAGTACACGGGGGGCTGCAAGTTGAGATCACTCCAGCGGTGGTGGGACCCTCTGGTAGCATTCGAGTGTCGGTTGCTCTTCTCACTGGCAAAAAGTACGACGTCTGCGTTCCCTTGGACTCAACATTCGGCTACCTTAAGAAAATGATGTACAAAATCATGGGCATGCCGACTGCGACTCAGAAACTTATCTATCGAGGTGCACAGATGTTAGATGGTAAGAATTCTCCGTCAGCTTGAATAAACCATGCTAACCACATCGAATACCCAGACCACCTGATCGCTTCTTCTGGGCTATGCGAATGGGTAAGCTCCAGTGACTTCTTTTCCAGCATTATCACTAATCGCTTTTCGTGCTGACTACCTGACAGGGGAGAGCAGTTGTTCTCATGGAGATATTGAGGGGAGGAGGCTGGGCAGAGCCTCCGACAGCGAAGCCAGAAACCAAAGAGATGGGCCTCGCTGCGGGCGGGAAGATCAAGCAAGTGATCGTATATGACGACCGGCCGGCAGAAATGTGGCACAAGACCGCCACCGTTGCCTTCAACGTCCAGATCCTGAACGCCAGCGCCTTTGAGAGTGTCACGGGTCTCCCACCCCCAGAAACGCCAATCACCATGGAAACCTACGCCGAGCTGGGCCTCCCGTTCTTCAAGCTGTACGAGGAGGATCTGGGGGATGTTGTCCACGGGCCACTCGACAATGTCAAGTCGATCGGGGAGATGGATGGCGTCGAAGACCCCAGCTTCGCCGTCCCGATCAAGCCGCTCAACGACGACCCAGACCTAGCGCGTGGCAAATCCAAGTCCAAGTCTCAGCAAGCCGACGCTGACGGGGTCAAGGCCGACGACGACATCTCTAATCCAGCAGGTCCGTTGAGCGACTTTCGTCCCCGCGCCGGACTATTGCGAGATTGCTGGGCGAGCCAGGGTCATGCATATTAAATCATGTACCAAACCCAAACCCAAATCTACATTGAGCACGATACGATATCCGGTCAAGAGTGTCCTGAGAACCATCAAATGAGGTCGTCATTGACGCAGACGTCCAACGATGCTGGGCATACGCGGTATCACATGCATGTGTACATGAAGGGGCTTGAAACTCGACAATAGCATCCCGGAGACTTTATTGGCCAACTGACAAACGGATCGATCAGACAATCAACCAATCAAGCAGAAAGCATGCAGGGAAATGAAAACAGCTGAACAGAATTCAAACATGATAATATCGTGCCCGACCCTGATTGTTTTCGGGCGACGTATCTACCCCAAAGTGGCTGTCGTCAGGGAACGGAGTGGGGTTGAGTGCGCTGGCTGCCTGAGAAGAAATTATGAAAAGGAGAAAAAAAAGAAATCACAAGAGAGCTCATTATGTCAGTCCATTCAACCAACAAGGAAGGATCTGTGCTGTGCTGTGCTGGGACATTGGAAGCTGCTACGGTACGGTACGGTATGATTCGATAATTGCTGGTCATCTGTCTGCTGGGGCATGGTCTCCTAAAGTCATCAACCGCGCTGGATGCTGGTTGCTGAATGCTGGTTGCTGCGTGATATTAAGGATTGACGCAATGTCAGGAGATGTCAGGCGGAGCATAGCAGAGCCTACAGAGCTGACCCGCCAACAGTCAATGATGAAAAAAAAAAGGCTTCCTCATCAAAGACCATATACATAGCTTGCTTGCAAGGGCGTACAGGCACGGACGAGATTTTAAAAGTCCAACTCGGCCTTCTGCTCTGCAGCCTTTATTCCACTTCGAGCCTCACTGACAGTATCGTCATCGTCGCCACCACTTATTTTCTTCTCCTTCGGTCTCCCCTTCCGATCCACCCTCTCGTCTCTGGGATCGAACCCGCCATTGCCCCAGAGGGCCCATTCGGGCGTCGCCTTGCAGTAATCCTCGGGCGTGAAGTCGGCGGAACTCTGCAGCAGGTCAAAGAACCTGTCGTAGTCGATGAGGGTGTGCCACTTGTCGCGGATGAGGAAGCGCTTGCTCGCAATCAGCACGCAGCAGCTGTGTGCATGTTCGGCGGCGATGCCGTACTCGAGTCCCCGTTTCGCGAGGGCCTTGTCCAGGGCCTCGACGAACGCGACCACTTCCTCGTAAAAGGGGACGTTCTGCATCGTCAAGCCCGCTCCGGCCGAGGAACTCGTGCCGCAGTACTGTCGGGGGAAAAGATATATTAGTATACCTCCAAAAGGGACAGAGCGGAAGACGCCACAAAGCTCGGTGCGCCTTGAAAGAAATTTGATGTGCAAGAGACAGACATCATGTCTGGAGAGGAAGAAACTTACTGTGACACCCTTGATCTCGACAAAGCAGGGTAGTCCCTTGGCCACCAAATGAGCATACCCCTCGACTTCATCCTCAATGTTGAACCCCTTGACGAGCGTAAGCCGAAACACGGTGCGCTGTACAAACCGCTTCTCCCGCAAAATGTCCAGACACGAATTGAACCGTTCCCAGAAATCCCGGTGCAGAGGCCTATCGATCTTGCGCAGACTGTCTTTGTTGCTGGCGTCGATGCTGACGTATAGTTGTGTCACACGGCGCAGGTCACGCAGTTGTTGCGGATGCTGGGCGTTGCAGACCAGGAAACTCGATATCTTCTCTCCATGTAGAAGGCCCACAAACTCATTGATGCGAGGGTAGAAGATTGGTTCGCCAACTAAGCTCAAAGCGCAGTGCCGAATACGCATGGCCTCTTCGAACCTCTCGGCGCGCACACCGGGAACGCCGCGCATCATCTTGATTTTCTTGTAATGGCCTTCCTTTGCACCGTCGAATATCAACTTGGGATCGTCGACCTGCCAGCGCCAAGTCGTCGACACCGGGTTGGTGCCGTGCCTCCAGCAAAAGACGCACTTGTTGCTGCATGATAGCGAGGGAGTAGTTTCCATGCACAGGTGGGACGCAATGCCGTAGAAAGAATTCTTGTAGCAGGATCCACGACCGCGGAGGGCAGATTTGGTCCAACGACAGATTTTCACGCCCGAGTGGGTGCCCACGATGGTGTAGCCCTGTTTTGTCAACGCTGCATGAGTGGGGGATTCCTTGGGAACCATGGCCTTGAGAGTTGTTGCTGGTGCTGGGCGAGAGCCGTAGGTGGTGAAGTCAATGGCGATGGGAGGCGCATAAGAATTAGCCTTCCCACCCACATCTTCGAGATCGGTGGTATTTGCAAGCTTTCGCCTCTTGTTGCGTCCAGAGTCGGGGAATTCATCTGTCTCTTCATCGCCATCCTCGGGCTCGTCCTCGTCACCGCTCTCCACGGGTTCCCCGCTGCCAGGAACGCCATCACCCAGCGCCCCCGTCTTGCTCACCTCCTTGAGGACGTTGCAGACGCCACCTACCCAGTCCTTCAGCGACTTGTCGACATTGCTTTTCACGTCACCGAGTCCCAAGGGGTACGCCCTCTTCCGACCGGTTAATTTGGCCATCCACTTGTCGACCTCTACAGCCTGTGAGCAAAAGCCCTTCTCTTCGGTGGGCCACCCTTCTTTGTCCCCAATCCCAAATATTGTATAGCCTGCCAATGTGGACAAGGGTGCAGTGTCAATGCGGAAGTCATTGTGCGTCTCGTCTAAATGGGCAAGGAATGTGTTCAGAATGGTGTCGATGTCGTAGGAAGGTATCAGGAGGAGGTAGAAGTACGAGACATCTGCACTCGGGACGGGAGTTTTGGGGCCTGAGATGAAGTAGTCGTCGAGGTCAACATATGAGAGATCGTATACTTGAGGCCTGAGGATCGCGGGGTAGGCGGTTGAGACTCCCTCAAGATCCGCCGCGACCTGCTTCGCGAGGCGTTCAGTAGTGCCAGTCAAGGACGAGAAGAAGATCAGTGGCTGCATGCGAGACGGCTCTCGTCGTCTTTGCAGCGCCGCCTGTCCTCTCGAACTCGCTGGCTTGCGGCCAGTCACCACACGGGCTGCAGCGGCCGGAGTTCGAGGTTTTCGAGCCTGGCCAGACGTGAGCGAAGGGCTGATTCTCGAAGGACTCTGGAGTCTTTGATCCTTTCCAATCTGGACGCGGGCACCGTCCTCTGGGGCGAGCCACGCTGCCTTCTCCAGGGTTGGGGAGCCGTGCTGTGCACTCTTGGAAGCATGTCTGCGTTGCACAACAACGGCGAGAACACAGAGCCCGACGAGGGTGGACACAACAGCACGGTTCTCATGCCAGTAATTCAAGAGGCGATCCAGCCAGTCAGCCAGGATGACTGGCGCGGCACCAGCTTCACCCAAATCCATGGTAACAAAAAATGTCTGGGGCAATTATTTGGACATTGGAAATTCCTGTAAGGCGCACACACACTACACACGACACAAGTGGGATGGCGCAGTCGGCGCTTCAGGGTTCCGAGTTCTGCGGGTTCCAGCTTGGAGGTTCCTTGGCGGGATCAAGTGTTCCATGGGACTCCCCTCCTCTCACGCGACCGCTTTTATACAGCACCGAACTAGATCAATAATAAGTTGTGTTACCGTTTTATGGTCCGCTCTGATTTGTCGACATCTCTGGAAGTTTCGGCCCATCCGAGCTTAGCGCCATGGCCTCAAACTACATAACGAGATAACTACCAAGCAGGGCAGGCTTGGACATGGCCTCCACGGATTCACATAGTCTTCCTCACAGACTCCCTCCTCCCAATGCAGCGCATGGAGCCCAAGCGAATCGTTTTTCGTGTTCATGAGGACTACTGGCTGGAAGAAGAAGCCATCATCGACCAATTTTTCCAACAATGTGGTATAGACCCTCAAGGCGACTTTTGCTCTCGTCTTATGGCCCCCAATGAGTCGGTCGAGATGCACATCATTTTCGACTTGTACTGCAAAGAACATCCCACAGTCGACCTTGGGGTGATCAAGTATGAAGTGTTCAAGGTGAAGAAAAGGGACAAGTTGTACGTTGTGCATGTGGATTTTTCCTTTCCCTTCCACCGAATTTCCCGAGAGCTGATGAATGAAACTTTGAACTTGTCAGCCTTTTCAAACAACTGAATGAATCTGCCTCCAACTACGCACGCCGGCGCTGCCATTATGTTCGCTGGGGCACTCACGGCTAAGCAGTATCTGAAGAGTCGGACGGTGTCCTTCGGCGACAAACCGGGCACTCGCCTCTTACATTGGTGTCTCGAGCATCAAGGGACAATGGCAAGTCCCTCAGCGTTCCACTGGGAGGGAGACAAACTCTTTGCCTTGGACGGGCCATTGCTCTCGCGCATCGGATACGGTTTCCGCGGATTATGTGTGGAGGATTCCTTCTGCACGACCGAAAGGTCATGCACGCAGTCTCGCACATGTTGGAAAGGATGTCTCTTGATAACTGAGGAGATTTGAGGGCATTTAACGGGAGAAGGTCTCTCTCTGCTGTGGAATCATCTCGCGCTGGATCTATTTATGCGAGACAACGGCCTCATTTTCTCAGAGTGCGCCGTTGGCTTAGTTGGTCACTGAGCCCAGGTCACCCTGTCCACGCTCGAAAACGCTCGACATCAGGTGTCTAATATGTCTCCTCCATGCTTGACTCAGGCTCGGATTGACTGAGGTCGAGTAATAGCCAGAGCTGCGTTGTCTCTTTGAATGACTAACCATCGGTCACAAAACACCACCAACAAACCCGATTGCAGGGCAAAGGCTACACCTAAGCCCAGCGAAGGACTGGGGGAAAAGGGCGAGATCGAACTCAGTTCTGTTCCGCACTCGCCTACGCGCTACAAAAGGGAAAATGAAGGAGACCTGAGAGGCCACGAGAGAGGTCGTCATACCTCCAGTGTATTGTGCGACCAGAAGGTCGATGTCTACAGTGTGTCCATCCCGCTGTGCATGAAGAGCTTTGCATTGTCAAGTCAAACGGGTCGCAGGACTGTCTGCCTGTAACCGCATCGACTCCTCACAGGGCCACCACCTTCTTGCGGGGTTTGACATGACACTTCCTCATTGCGCAGTGTCCTACTGCACCACTGTCAGCGACGAAAGCCTAACCCAGTGATGGTGTCGTCACGATCCGGTCCACCTTCAAATTCATGGCATCGCGCAATAGTTGCGTGCTCACTAGGGTGGACAACAGAGGGACTCAGTTCGTCACATATTCATTGTCTATGTGCTAAGCTCCTTTAGAAGCTACCTGATCCATAGAGGCATCTCTGCCTACACAACTCATCCGTGTCTAACATCGGCGTCCAAATCCCTCTACCCGATCCGAAACCCGTGTCTCATGTCAATGATCGTTTCCAATGTCAAGTCATTTGAGTGTTTCCATTTCATATACCCTCTAAAGACCCATGCCTGTGTTCGAATCTGGATACGATGGGCACAATCGGCTTCGGGCCTCAGCCTGTTGCCTCATGTGGTGCCAGTCAGCCCGTTGGAGATGACTGGCTTCTTACCTCCCTCGAGGAGGATTGGTCCTGGCTGATCCTCGCTGGGTGGAGGTGCAACGGCATTCTTCTCGTTGTCGAAGATCTCGACTGACTGATGTCTGTTACTATCACGGACAGCGGAGAACCGACGAAGGCCGCGACGACGACGAATCAAATCGTCGATGTGTCGGCCAATTGCAAGCGCCAGGCCAACGGCCAGAACCGCACAATTGACACTGAAAGCGCGGCGATATCGCGGACGGTCGTCCTGCCGGAAGATTTGAGCTCCATAGATGCCGGCGATATTTGCGCCCATGATAACCCTACCAAACGTTAGCCAACATTTCCTTCATTCACGGTCAAGGAGAGGAATACATGGCCATCGCGAGGGCTCTCTCCTCCGAGTCTTCGCAAGTGAGCGACATCCAGGTAATGTTTAGAGGGTGTGAAAAAGTGCCAAAGGTCTGCGTCCAGACGACACCAAAGTACCTGACTCCTCGGTTGTCGATTTCAGTGAAGATGCGGTTGAAGATGTACCCGAGGAGATGCATGCTAAGGCCAGCAATGACTGTTTCTCCGCGCCTCGAGCTGTTACACGTAAGTACACGAACAATCCATGAGAGTTCCCGACGACTTACAAATGATCCGATACATAACTGAATGAAAACGACACCGGAATCTGCAAAAACAGACCTACCGAGGCAAGAGCATTGGACGACAGCGCAGCGAAGCCGAAACTTCTGACAATCGTCGGGGCGTAGGTGTCAAAGGCGCGTTGCGGTCCATTGTTTGCCAGGGTGATGATAACATGCACCCACATTCTCCAATGTGAAAACTGCGCATCATGTCAGAACGAGTCGAATGGAAGATCATCATCTAGTGAACGTACAGCCTTCTTAAACGCGAGTCGACCGATGCGCTTCTTCTTCTTCCCCTTCATCGGGTCATCAATCATGACTCGAGTGTTGAGAATATGGATCTCTCGGTCTGTGAAGATCTTGACGTTGGGCAGGAATGTGCTGCGAGGGTGCTTGAAAGAGTCTGGCAGGAAAAATCCCAGAATGAGACCGCTGAGAACGGTAAAGCTGCCCATCAGGACGAACAACCAGAACCAGCCTGATTTACCGCCGACGCCGCGCATGTGGAGAATGCCATATGCCAGGAGCTTTGCGGATGCTTGTCCGAATTGATTGCCAAAGTAGAATATCATAACACGCTTCGCAGTTTCTTTCCGCGTGTACCAAGTTGAGAGGGTCCACAGACCACCGGGAATGAAACCCGACTCTGTTATCCCCAGGAGAAAACGAGTGGCAATGAACGAGCCGTAGGATTTCTGGAAGGCCTGGAACGTGCTCACGGTGCCGAAAAGAAACAGTTGAAGTGTCAACCACTTGCCAGGACCGACCCGGTACAGAATCATGTTGGAGGGAATCTCGAATAGCACGATGCCCAGGGACAGCATCTGTTGGCCCACGTTGAATTGGTTTTGGGTGATGCCCACGTCCTCCATGAAGTCGTCTGTGATGGCATTGGCCATGTTCCCGCGGTCAAGTTCTGTGAAGAAGCTCGGAGTCAGCCACAAGATTGACGGGGGGTCAGGATGCAGACATACGAAGGCAAAAGAAGCCCAGCGTGAGGAGTGGCATGATGATGAAGTCCATCCTGCCCAAGGTAGTCCTGTCAGCAGAGTCCTTGTTGTCCAGTATCGAACAAGCTTGTGATGCATCAACACTGACTTCCTTTTCGCTTTGACTTCTTCCTCTAATGTCCAGTCACGCTCCAGCAGAAGAGCCTCGCCATTTGCACCAACGGGAGGAAATTCATTGACGACCTCTGTCGCCTTGGGATCAAAATCAGACATCTTTGCAGGATCGTATTGAAAACTGGTCCAAAAGGCCTTTGCCCTGCCAGCAGAGACTTTGAAGAGGAGCACCCCATTGTTCTTGTAGAAATTCAATCATCAACGGATCATCATCACGCCATTGCGAACCCCATCTAGATCGCCAAACTCTTCCGATGTTCGTTCATCATAGACGAGAGCCAAGAGCAAATTCATCGTGGGCATGGGGGTGCGCATGGCAGATTTGACCAAAACTTTCTGCGCCATTCCAGCGAAAGTTGTACAGCCAAGCAAATGACTGCGTCGCCAATGTTGAAGTGAGGCCTGTCCAAGAAGGTCCATGTCGACATTTCTCGCGGCGCCGAGGACGTAGCTGAACATATTAATACTGGTGGCATGGAGACATTTACATACAGGGCTCTGGGACTGGTCGAGATAGCTTGGCAAGCCTTGTCGTGATGGCGACATCCTTGAGCTTGATAGCGCAATCTCAGCCACTCTCCCATGGACCAATCCCTCTTGATTTTCGACTCGGGTTTCTGGTGACATGGCGGTCAGTGTATCAGGGATCCTGCTGAGAATTTTGTTTTCTTCTGGCGATCTGGATATGTCGTGCTCGAAGCTGCTGTCAGAGAAATTGGCGACGACGAGAGATCATAATTAGATGTTGAAACTGCAATCAAGCATTCTTGAAATGTGGCAGAGGCGGCCACAAGAAAGGCACCAAGGAATGGCAAGACAATCAAGAAAACTGCCCTACTTGGCATGAGTGCTTGGAGCCTGACGACTGCCACCGATGGGTGTTGATCTCCTGATGAATATGCGAGGTTCAAATTCAGGAGACAACGCCATCCGTCCAAGGCATTGTCGTGGCCGATGGGGGCCTGTGTAATATATATGAAAAAACCAGCGCCCGTCGGTGTTTTTTGTTCAAAATCATAGGCTCGTTGTTAGCTGACCACTTGAGTTGATTCCTCATGTAAAGGCACGCTGCGCGGGTCAGCAACCAACGCCAGTCGATTCTGGCCAAATCTCGTCATGCAAGGAGAGAAAACGACTTTGCTGAGTGGTCGGAGTACTGAGGACGATCAAAGCCCTAGCTCCAACGTGGTCAAGATCGTCCTCTTTACCCTGACTGGCGCCATCATTGCCTTCTTTGGAGCAATCGCCCTCGTCGGGGCAGTTCGAGTATATCGCCATCCAGAACGATACATTCCGCAAAATACAGCTGGCCAGTCGATGAGAAATCGAGCAAAAGGAATCACTCGCGCCATCCTAGACACAATTCCTATTGTCCGATTTACCGAGAAAACGAATACTGAACTTGAGTCAGTTGAGCTGGGGAATGCGAAAATAGCCAATCAAATCCACGAAGATGTCGCAGGTCAAACGCCCAAATACAGTGGTGACGACTCAGGCAGTGCTACCCTGACAGAATTGAATGGTGCTCCTGTCCTCGATGGAGAAAGAGGTCTGAGGTGCTCAATCTGCACAGAGGATTTCAGCATTGGAGAACAGGTCCGACTTCTGCCATGTTCTCACAAATACCATCCTGCATGCATTGATCCCTGGTTGCTGAATGTGAGCAGCACTTGTCCCCTCTGCCGTATCGACCTTGACCGCAGCGAGCAAGGGCAGAGTAATGGTCAGGTCCGAGGCGAAGGCTGAGAAATTCACGTTTGCGTCTAGCAATGCATGCAAGGGGAAGGATCTGGATTTGGGGATAACGAGCAGTTCATTGATTGTGGCAGCACATCGTCGAGATCAAGGGCCAGACTTCAGAATTTGACCACCAAGTCAGTACTGGGCCAGTCGGAGCTGAAGTATTGATCTGCGTTTCAGAGATGGCACGGTCCCAGGGGATATAGCCTGATGGCGAGATGCGAGTGGTCCCTCCCTCATTGCCTGCTGTGGGAAAGGAGAGTATCCTTGAGCCTAAGATACAAGGTGAAGGAGAGCAATCATGATGAGAAGACACGATGGAGAGGAGAATAATGATAGCGAGCCAAATGTACTAGATGAGATGAACTAATACCGATATGGAATAGCCCGCCCAAAAAGGCAGCCTTGCCGAGCGCCACCTCTACGAACCTCTCTGCCTCTCTTCCGCTCTCCAGACTCCCAATCTCGACCAGCACTCACTCTCCTCAGTACTTGTACTTGTATACCCTGATGAATGTCCCCAGAATCTCATATGGGTATTTTAACTTTCGCGAATCGTGCCTGTACGATTTCATCAGAACCATGTCGCCAGATCCAACTGCGCCTCGCTTGAGATGAGATCGTGCCTTGCTTGAGCAGCACCATGGTCGATGTGAAAGAGATGGATCTGACGTGCAGGTATTCTACAAGTACACAAATGGTTCTGGGGATGCGGGGAACCGACTCCCCGCCGTGGGCGATTTAGTTTTGCCGGGGATCGCAACATATCCAAGACCTCTAGTTCTACGAGTCGTGTATACCTTCAAAACCTCGGTATCGTCATTCCACAGGTTCTGTGTACCAAAACTTATGGTTTCTGGCCTACCGAGGCCCCGTCATTCCGATTTCCTAGGGTAAACTGAATCCCATCGACTTGAGGATTATTCTGCGAGTATGAAAAGGGTTTCGACTTCCCACAGAGCATCGGGCGTGCAGCAGTCAAGGTACATCGTGAAGGCCCTATGCTGAGCATCACCGTCGACATGTGTAAAGGATGGGCTCTCCTGTTGTGGTCCACGCTGGCTTCTGTGCTCGTCGCCGACCCAACATTTACCGGCTTTCCTCCAGTGAGTTAAGATTCGCTTTCTCTTCTGAGCGCTCTGCTAAAGCATTTCGCCCCTGGTAGTGTGATGCCTTGATCGCTGCGGGCCTGGGCGACAGGTTGATTCGTGTAGGGACCGAGGCTTACGAACAACACCTGGAAAGTTATTTCTGTGCCAACGGACGTCTACACCCTTACTGCTTTGTACTGCCACAGACCACAGAGGAGGTTGCGACCACTGTCAAAGCGCTAGCCAGTAATGGCTCCGGATCAGGGAGTTGGCACATCGCCGTACGAAGTGGAGGACACCATCTCCCAGCCACCAACAACATTGAGGATGGGGTTACCATCGATCTCAGCCTGATGAACGGGGCCAAGTACAATGCCACAACTAACATTGCAAGTGTCCAGCCAGGTGGTAGATGGAAAGACGTCTACTCGACTCTCCTCAACAATGGCAATGTGACGGTGGTCGGTGGGCGTGATGGAAACGTCGGGGTGGGTGGGTTCCTCCTCGGTGGCGGCATGTCGTATTATACGCCGCGTTATGGCTTGGCCGTCAACACGGTTGCTGGGTTCCAAGTCGTGCTCGCAGATGGGAGCATCGTGGAAGCGACAGCCACAGAGAACGCGGACCTCTGGAAAGCCCTCCGAGGGGGTGGGCTCAATTTCGGCATCGTCACCCGTTTCGACATGGAAGCCATGCCGGCAGTTGATCTGGTGTCAGGCACCTCCATGATTACAGCTGACCATTTCGACGAAGCAGCGGACGCCTTCGTTGATTTCACAAACCAGATGGAGCACCATCGGGACGACACCATGCTCATCATCCATACCCATGACTCATCTATATGGGATGGTCCGTTCATCCTCCCTCTGCGAGTCAATACGAAGGGTGATCTGAGCACCACAGCCTTCGACAAGGTCACTCAAATACCTTCCGTGGCGCAAACCTGGGAGCAAAAATCGCTTGCTGCTGCTGCCAACGGGGTCCAGGCTGCTTATGGAACGAAGTATGATTCTCCCTGTGCAAAACCTCTGATTTCTTTTCTTTCCCCACAGTTGAAAAGATGAAAACGCTGATCGATCTCTATCGAACCTTCTTAGGAATGCATACATGACTTTGACTTTTGTCAACGAGCCGTCGGTCGTGCGCAAGGCATTCTCTTTACATGACCAGCTGGCCTCTAATATTGCAAAGAGGGTCGGGTCTGAAAACTTTATGGCATCGTCGGTTCTCCAGCCTTTTCCTACCTATCTGAGCGATCTTGGTCTTCGCAACGGCAGCGTGAGCCACAAGGCTGGATCCGAGAACGGTACAATGCCACTGGACCTTACCTTCTCGTCTGGACACCAAGCTCATCTCGGCCTCCACCACGAGATCATGAGCAACGTGCTCGGAATCGAACGGAACGGAGTCAACGCCGTCGTGTGGACTGTCTTCGTCGCCATCAAAAACGGCCAGGACGCGGCCCTGTCGGTGGCCAGATCAGAGCTGATGCTCATGACCCGTGAGATGAAGCGATTCCACACCTCGGACGGCAAGGCCGCGACAGTGGATTACCTGTACGCAAACTACGCCGACATGACCCAGGATCCCTTGGGGAGTTACGGCCCGGAAAACGTAGCTTTCATGAAAGAAGTGGCGCGAAAGTACGATCCCGAGGTGTTCTGGCAGAAGAGGGTACCGGGCGGGTTCAAGATCTCGAGAGTGGCCGGATAACCCTACAAGTAGGTATTGAAGGGGTTTGTGGCCTGATACTGATACCCATACCGATGCATGTCTGACGAATGCGAGTACAGCGATCAAGCTGCAAGTACATCGTATCTGCTTGTACAAGTATTATCTCGGCTGGGCTATCAGAGAGACAACATAACCTCGGCCAGACTGCCGAGCCACAAGTACGAGTGGCGCCACCAGGGCTCGGGCTGGTGGTGCCAGGTTGATACTACAAGTATGTAGGCACTATGTGGGCACCATAGGTAGGTATGCTTAAATAAACCTCGTTGAGTCATCCCGCTATAGGGGCGCAGCCTTACAAAGATTCACGACTGACCCGTCCGTGAGATGATGGGGATTTTGGCCCAATATGCCTGTCTGAGATGATAAGAAACGCTCCCCGTTACTTGATCCCCCATCTCCCCTCTCTCTATCCCGTACGAGGTATTCGGCACGGATTCTCCATGTATCTACTCCCCATGTCTTTACCCACATCTGCGCGGGATACCAAGGAACTCGTTCAAACTATCCACAGACCTACTAGGTAGCCTAGGTTCATAGTATGTAAGTTCTCTCCGTGATTTTCATCCACGGTGTGGAGCCAGCCACGGCGGCCCTATCCATATCTATCTATCTATTCCATCACGACCCCAGGGAAACGGCACGCCGACTCCGCGCACGAATAGTCGGGCCCCGTCGATACAAGACCCAGGGCATAGGGGTCATGGCGGCCGCAAAGCCGTACCGAGCAAACGCGTTGGCGGCCGTGGCCGAGGCACCGTACGTCGGCCCGTAAATGTTGACCAGGTAACTAATCGCAGAGGCCTAGGGAAAATTAGTATCGCAGATCCGGGGAGTGACCGATTTCCCTCGCATTTGGTGTCATTGTTCCAAAAGGGGGATTGGTTGGTAATCAGGTACCAGTTGGACGAAGGGACTGTTGATGCAACTAATTTAGCATCTGTGTTGTTCATGCCATTGCCGTTTCCGGTTTGTTTGCGTCAGTGTATCCCGGGTCTTGAATATGCATTCATGTTGTGCAAGAGAATTAGACAAGATGCGAATTGTGAGGTCGAGATTGTTTTTGTGAGCGGCGTAATCAATCCTGAAAATTCTTGACTTTGAGGGTTCGATTACAAGAGGCCACAGGAGAGTGTGGCAGGGATTCTGGCAACGGTTGGGATGACAAGTGGGATTCTTTTTGCTTTTTGATCTGAGACGACCCTCGTAGATGCCATCTTGGCCAGCAGGTCTTGGGATTGTCTGATTATACCTGAAAATGTTGGATGAACGGCAAGGCTGTGGATGTAAAGGGGAGAGACACAGCCAGGAACGGACGCTGACTAATCACAGTCCAACGCGATTGACACTGGCCCTTCGACCTGCTCAACTACAACTCGATTGATAGAGCTGCGCTACTGTCCCTTGAGCACGAGAAACTCCTCGGGGTTTGGAAATCAAGGGACCAAATACTTTCAACCCCCCTTAGTAGGTACACAGGCTGTACCCTCCATCTCCAACCCATTGAGCTCGAGATCCTCCCCCTTTCCTCAGGGGTGAGTGAGTCTCCCCGAGCCAAACAAGCCAAAGCCAGCCGCCTGCCTCTAGAGTGATCTTGCTCTACTCGGTATGGACGTCTTTATTCGACATGGACTATCCTCCTCGTAACGGCCTTCCTTTCTCTTCCCTTTCTCCGACAAGGTCCCAGGTGAAAGTGTCTGTCTTGGCGTATACAATCCGGGCGTATTCGTCAGGAACCCGCGCACGGCGTATAGAGCGCATCGCCTGGAACTTCTTCACAGACTCACGATTTGTCATGGAATAAATTATTTAAATCCCCCATACTACCTATCTAGGCATCCATGTATTTCCCCCTAAATCTGCATTCTGCCTCGATTTATACGTGGATGATTAGCGGGGTCTCGGTTCATGGTCGTCGAGCCCACGAGAAGCGCGAGCCGTTTTTGTTACCCAACTGATATCGTCCCTTCGCACCTCTTTCTAGGAAGAACTGAATTATTGGCAAGGAACAAAGAGCTGCTGCAACATGGGAGAGGACCTCAACGGACTCGTCATGAAGATGAGGGCCTTAGCCACCCGTAATGGCAATGACAGCCATGATGAGCTTGCCCGAGCAGCGTTCGGGAGGGCGATGAGGGACAAACACTTCCTCTTCGCGGAAGACTATACCAATCTCAATCACGGTATTTGCTTCCCATCCCATACTCTCCTGGAAAGCGGCAGTGTGTGTCACACTGTTACTCCGCCATCCTAGGCCCTGACAAATCGTCTGTGTCATAGGCTCTTTTGGCGGCTATCCTCGCTCGGTCCAGCAAGCCCTGCGCCACTATCAAGAAACGGCAGAGGCGGAACCCGATAAGTTCATCCGCTACACCTACCCGCCACTGCTGCGGAAGAGTCGCACGCTGCTCGCTGAGATGCTGCATTGTCCCGTCGATGAGCTGGTCCTGTGCTCCAACGCCACGACCGCCACGAACACGGTACTCCAGAACCTGCGATGGGAGGAGGGCGACAAAATCGTGTATACTTCCGGCGTCTATGGGGCACTGGAGAAAACAATTGACTATATCGTCGACACAACTCCGGCCGAGAGCATAAGGGTTGAGTTGGACCTACCTCAGAGCGACGACAAGATTGTGGAGCTCTTCCACAAGACTTTGACCGAGGAAAAACTCAAGTGTGAGAGAGCTGGGAAAGGACGAGTTCGGGTAGGCGTTTTCGACACGGTGGTCAGCATGCCTGGTTTGCGAATGCCATTTGAGAGGCTCGTGCAGCTCTGCCGACAAGAAGGTGTGCTGAGCCTTGTAGATGCTGCGCATGGAGTGGGACATATTGCCCTCAATCTCACCGAGCTGGACCCGGATTTTCTGGTCACCAACTGCCACAAGTGGCTCTTCGTGCCCAGGTCGGTTGCGGCTTTCTTCGTCCCTGAAAGGAACCAGCACTTGATTCGGACGACGCTCCCAACATCTCATGGGTACCGATCCCAAAGACGCAGCCAGTCACATGATCCGATGCCTACCTCGGAAGAAACGAATCCCATGGTGAAACAGTTTGAGTACTATGGGACGATTGATGGTGCCGCTTACTGCTGCGTCGAGGAAACAATCCGTTTCCGCAACGAGGTGTGTGGCGGCGAATCAGCCATCCGAGAATATTGCACCTCCGTTGCTAAGAAAGCGGAAGAGATCCTCGTGGAAACTCTGGGGACGGAGACATTTGACATACCAGAGACACATCGAGTTTTCTTTGCGCACGTGCGACTACCCATTTCGGTTGGAGAAGGGGCTGAATACGATATGTCCTTGAAAGACGTCCCGGCCATGACTCAGTTTATGAACAAGGAGCTCGGAGAAAGATATAGGACCTTCTTTTACGTGCTGTTCTATCGAGGAGCCTGGTGGATCCGCCTGTCGGCCACAGTCTATGTCGATCTCGAGGATTGCAAGTATGCGGCCTTTGTCTTGAAAGACTTGAGCGAAAGAATTTGCAGAAAAGAGTTTTAGGCGAGCAGACCAGCAATGGAGACGAGTTTGTGCTTGTGCATTTCGTGGGTTTGACCAGAGTCGAGAAGATGATGCGTGCTATGTAGCGGATCGAGTACAGAGAGCTGCTCTGCTGGAATCAGAGACAATGGAGATGCAGAAGGTCGCCCTGAGATAGAGTACTGAGCAATCCAGATGCGCTATCATAGACCAGTTCTGGTTGTTGACCTGAGATTAGCAGTTTCTAGGCATGTATATTGCCAGCGTACCATCAGTTCTGGAGCGCCACGTTCAGCAGTTGGGAGGTGACTCTAGAAATGAGGGAGGGATCTTCTTGGACAGTAGATGTCCCCACCACAACAGGTGTGGGCATTGAAGTCCTTTCTGTGTCAAGAATAGGTCGTTCCGCCGACATGACATGCGAGAAGAAGCTGCCCGTAGCGCCAAGTCTGTGAGCGCCTGACTCGTGAGGCCGCGAACAAATGACTCGTGTGCTCATGACGTGCCATGCATTCTTCAATTCTTTGTCATTCAGCCCTGGCACGCATGGTTACCCATGAACCCTGGATACATGATAGAGAAAGTCCCCAACCTGTGAGCATCCAGGTCCTGCCTGAAGGCCGTACCATTTGCGCACCATGGCGGACGCGGATGAAGATGCCATTCCTTCAACCTCAGCGTCTGGTCCCGACGACCTCGAAGACGAAACCCAAGATTTCCGGTTCCTCAGCCAATTGACCTCCTCGTCCAAGAACGGGCAAGCCATAATCCCCAAACGCGGCACAAAGGACTTCGAACCAAACCCGACACGTTCGCAGGCCTCTGCCCTTGATGCGTCTCGCCTGGCGATGCACACAGTCCTCAGTGCGTTGCGGATTCAAACGGGCAAAAACCACGTCGTGGGACAGTACTTTCCAAACGAAGGTGACTGGCGATGGGACGGTTCTGGGGCTGAAGGAAGACATGGCCGGTGTGTTGTGGTGTACAAATTCAAGAGCCCTCATCTGAAGGTCATGGGCCAAGCAGACAGGAACAACTGGGTCTGGCTGTTGCCTGAAGAGGCTTTGTTTCTGTTAGAAAGAGGAAATCTCGATATCCGATGGCCAGATGTCAATGACGAGGATGATGGTGTACCAAGCGGGAGTGGGGATAGGTCCTCCAACGTCACCGCCTCGGAGGAAGATCCTGCTGCTTCAGAGCAACAAAATGTTGAACCACAAAAGGGAGCTGATACCGCTACAAATCCAAGCGTGGAGCCATCCCTAGGTGAACTCCCCATGAGTCTCCAAGGCGCCTACGCGAGCTTCATTGGCAAGGACGGCTTGACGTTGGAACGATACACAGTCTATGCAGGGCTCAAGAGAGCGGGATATATTGTTCAGCGGGCGCCGACCTGGAATGATACGGATGTCGCACAAGCGAACGGCCACAGCGACCATGCTCTAAGTCCGCCCGTTTCGCCATCTGCACCGTCAACGCCGACATCGGGCGTATCTCAACCTCGAGGGACATTCGCATCTCTGGTCCACAGGTTGGTATCATGGCTCTTACAACCTCGTCAAGGCACGTCCTGTCCCTCACTCGGGCCGTTGGTTGCTCCGGGTTTGTACAGGAACTACGCTGATCTATTCCGCGCGTTGGCGTTGATCCGGTACCACGAGCCTCCCAGCAGCCATACAACTGAGAGCCCAAACTCCATATCCTCACCGCAACCGCGGCCGCCACAAACACCCTACCGCATCCACTTCCACGTCTGGAAACCCAACGTCTCCGGCACCTACAAGAAGACCTCACCACCTCCAGAGGACTATCGAATCTGCGTCATCGATGCGCGCTCGACGCCGTCGATTCCGTCGCTGTTAGAAATCGGACCTCTCCTCGACAGTCAGCCTGAGGATTCCCTTTCCAGAGCGCAGGCAGGCAGGTTAGAGACGAGGCTCAAGCATGGTAGACGGAACGTCTTACTCGCGGTGGTCGACGCGGGTATCGTGAGTTACCTGAGACTAAGCGACGCGTGCTTCGGTGCCGACAAACTGTACGAGGAGAAGGCCAGAGCAGGCACCAAGGGTCGGCCCAGGAGAAACCAAGGCCAAGGCCAGGGCCGAGGGCAGGGACAGGGACAGGGACGAAAGTAAACGACGTGGCTATGCGCGGAATATGGCCTTGCTAGGCGCTTAGGTCAAGGCGGCTTTCTCAAAATTTGCGGATGCGACTATTTGGACACCGATGAACGATGTTTGATTGCACCGGGACACACAGGAAACCATAATTTCACGGGGGACGGGGCATTGGCAATTTCAGATTTCAGGGACAGGCCAGGCTTAGACCGCTTTAGACATTTTAGACATGATACCCCTATAATTGAATGAGAGTATACAAATATACTCAAAGGCACATGGACGGCGTTGTTCAATGACGAAAAAGAGACGAAATGAGACGAGGCGAAACAGACGAAACGGAGCAGATGGAATGGAATAGAATAGCCTGAGCCAGCAAATGGATACCTGTTTTTCTTTCCAACTCTCACACCCGCTGGTTTTAAGAACGAGAGCGTGGCAAGAATGGAAAGCAACTTTCTACTAGTAAGATGTACAGTCTCCGCCGAGACCCAGGGGTACCTTGGAGAGATTATACAGAGAATGCAGAGAACAGCGGATAAAATCCTCAACGGATATATTTTCAAGAGATTTGTCTCCCCGTGAGAGAACGTCCGCGTTTTCACCATGGCGCTTTTTGAAAGGCGAGCGGACTGCCTGATGATCTAGGGACTTTCTGATCTTCCATCTTCTATAGACGTCGGCCTGTGGGAGAGTAGACAGGTTTCAAGTGTCGCGACGTATATGCTTGAGATGGGTGGGGGGGGTCTTTTGTCTATGTTGAGGAAGAGGGGGGGGTGCATGGAATTGAGACTTGGCTTAGGAGAAGGGGAAGAGAAAGAGATGCCCAAATCGTAGGAGCAGTCTTGAGAAGGAAGTGAAGGAATGGTAGAATAGAAAACCACTTAACATGTTTTGTCAACAAAGAATATGTCTCGGGGAGGAGCCGGGAGGGAGCTCTTGGGATATGAATGCGTTAAGTGGTGCCCTTTTTCCTCGACTTCCTTGACATCTAACAAGGCTCGGACAGCAGATGCGTCGCTTCTCATCTACCTTTGTGCAGATGTCGAGGGCAACAGCGACCAAAACTTGACAATCCGTTGACTTGCATTGTAGGTGCCAACCATCTTCATTCGTCAATCCTCGCTTCAGCCGTGACTCTGCGGATGGTGATGATTCTATGTTGTCATGAATCATTTGTCTGCATAGCAGATCAAGAGCTGAGGTCAAAGCAGGGAGCTGGGCCATGTTGCCAGTTCCGACCCAAACCCGTTCTGTGCCAGGCTAAATCGAGCTTTTGCATCTTCTGGTAGCTTGTCCCGGATCATCCATGGCAGGCCCTGGGCACCGAGGAGCGAAACTTTTGACTCCCTTGAAGCGAAAAACTTCGTTGGACAGGTGATTCCTGGGATGGACAGGTCGCGCCGCAGTTTGCCAATCAGTGATGTATTTCAAGGACTGGTTTCAGGAACGGTACACGTCGTCAAGGCTTGCAGGGATTTGCCCAAAAAGCACCAGCTTGATTCTGTCCGCCCCTTGCAAGTTTTGGTTTGGTTTTTTTGCACCCATATTGGTATGATTCATGTCGTCAACATCAGGAAATCAGCCGCCATCAGAAGCTCCAGGCACAGCTCGGGGGGAATGTCCATATCCGGGACGCCCTCGCTGTCTCGGTATTTCTCGTTGTAGTAAAAGTACTCGACGACTTTTTCGAGGACGCTCGCGCTGATGTTCTCCAGGTGGCAGATCCCCGTCTGCGCTTCGGCAAAGTTATCTGCAACACAGAGGAAGTGGGCGTTAGCTTCATTACTTCGACATCTGGACGAGGAATGACGCGGTAGACGCGTAACGTACTCTGCAAGTCAAGCATACGCCTCAGCGTAGGGGACACGCAGGCGGCGGAGCGACGGAGATGGAATTCGAAGCCATCGGACGAGACGAGCGTCACGAAGGGCGAGGGAGTGCCGTTGGTGGCCATGGTTGTGACTGATGCCTTTGGGGACAGAAGTGGACGTGTACGAGGCACTACTTGAGGAATACTCGTACTCTCAATTGAAGAACCGTGGAGGGTCAATAATCAAAAATCACGACTCGAAAATATTATTACAAGGATCAACGACCCCTTAGGCAGTGTTAGGCGGTGTGTGGTGGCCGACGCGCGCAAAGGCTTGGATCATTGATTATTAAAGCAGCGAGTCTTTGCCTGCGCCTCAGCCTTCCAGGAACCAACTCGTACTGCGGGATTCTCCTTTATTATGTCTTCATTCGTGTCTTCTCTTCTCATTGATGTCTCCTGTTTAATGACCATCATGGATATCACACCCTCACTTGTAACTTGTACTGTCCAGGCGCTAATTCAGCTCTTTCCAAACCCGAGCTCAACTTTCCAACAAGCTTTTGTGAGGAACCCCTGGAGTCTATCCGCCTCCTTGCTCATGATGCGAGGAGCAGATACGTCCTCAAGTCCAGAGTACAGGGGTAGTAATGCGAAAAGCTCATCTGTTGTGAGGCAGACGAGCCAGATCTGAGCCTGAGACATATGTCGCCTCATTGCCAGTCACAAACTTGTCCAAGATTGGTTCAATGACCGTTAATATGACCCTTCGTCTTCCGGATCTGTCCAACACATGTATATCGTCCAGGTGTCCATATGGCCACTCCTTGTTCTGGACCGATCAGTCATCATCTGCGATGATGAGCGCTCCGTCATCCTCGTCGATTACAATTGCTTGCATGTCACCATTCTTTGCCACTCCCGAGGTCGAGCCTTGCAATTTCTTTGCCGGCGTAGCACCCTCTTCTCCTTCGTCGTCCAAGGGCCGCTTCCTCTTGCCGTTAGGGAGCGCAATAGTGCTTGAGACACCGTTCGTGATGATCACACCATTCGTATCGTCTTCTCCGGCGTGATTATCTGTGGGAGCAGGCTGCTTCTTCGTTATCCGAGGAATCTCAAATGCTTCGCCTTCCTTCTCAACAAGCAAAACGACTTTGTTTTCGTCCTTTGGTTTCTTCGTCTCGATGGCTATTTGGAGGTCGACCCGGGGCTGGTCGTCGTCGTCGTCCTTGACAATAACAAAACTTGCGTCATCGATATTCAGATCTGACAGCTTTTTCTCCAAATTGTCCTCGAGGTCGGGGTCATATACCACGCCGGCCTCAGTCATGACTGTCAGTTCTTCTCCATAGCCCAGTCTGGTCCGCAAAACCTCTTGTACCAGGTCACCTAGTGTGGCTTTTTCAATATCAACATGGACTCTTGCCATAGCAACGCTGCAGACGGGACAGTCTGGGCTTGGTAGGTCTAATTGGTCTGTCCGCAATGAACCAATCCCCAGCCAGAGCCATCTCGTCCGAGCGTAGTCGCCTTTCAATACCTTGAATGCCTGCAACACGCAGAGGCCGGCGACCATGGCATTTGTGGTGGCGATTGCGGGGATGATATTGCCTGCCATCTGCTTGATATCAAATTTTGACTTGGGTTCGATGCCGAAAATGATTGCTCGCAGGTTACCAGCTGCAGCAACAAAGTCCATCGTATCATCATCATCTTTGTCGAAGGAGATTGTGGGCTGCAAATCCCCGGATTTTGAGGCGGCCGCTTGTTCCTGAGAGAATCTCTTCACCAGACGATTCAGGCTGTCCTTGAACACAGCAAAGTTCTCGACGGCGGACCATGTTTGTTGACCATGCTCAGCTACTTCTGAGCCGACCATGCTTGCTCCTTGCTCAAGTGTATCGTACGAAAGCGGTTCTGGTGGTTTCTTGTCTTTCCACATGTCCTCCATCTTCACCAATCTTTCTATATCTTCTTTGAATACCTTGTCAAACACCTGCTTGGCGAAGTCGTTCGAACCCATTGACGCTCTGATTTTCTTCAGAGCCTGTGCCTCCTCTTTTAAATTTTTAATCTCCTCGGCATTATCCGTATCTTCTGAAGAGTCCATTTCAGCCGCCTCATCTTCACTCACGCCAAACAGCTCTGGCAGAAGGTAACTCTTTGCCCATACAATGCAATGGATTGGTTGACTCGGAGTGGATCGGATTGTACAGACAGGGTAGGAAATCGGAGTAGTCTTGGGAGTGCAGTCGTAGCAAGCAGTCTTGCCCCTCTTGATGACCTGCACTTGACCTTTGAAGCCTGTAGTGCCAGATTCGACCAGGGGGACATCGACAGCTAAACACATTTTATTGACATGCCGTCTCGCGTCCATATTGTCGAGCGCATTGAAGACGATGTTGAAGCCCGAAAACCACTCCAGGTTGAATTGCTTGTCTTTTATATTTGCATGGTACGCGAACAGTTTGACGGTCGGGTTGAACTTCTGCGCCACATCCTTTGCGACCAGTGCTTTTGGTTTCTTGATATGTTCTTGCCGGAAGAGAAACTGTCGATTTAGATTGCTAAGGTCGATCGTGTCAAGGTCTATGATGTGGATTTCGCCGAACCCTGTGAGGACGAGGTTCTTGAGCAGCTCGCAGCCTATGCCGCCGGCGCCGACAAGGAGGACACGGGACTTTTTTTGGTCGCAAAGTCAGACCTAGTTTTGCTGCGGCCCGTGTTGGGAGAGTAACTCACCTCTTTGACTAGTCGCTGCGTCGAGCCTAGAGATTGACGGGTATATCTGTCGCGAGGCATTGCGCTGGGTTTCAGAGGAGGGCCGGGGTTGAGAATAGGAAGAAGAGGAGTGTGGCTTGCTTGAGCGAACGAAGCCGTTCTAATAATGAAGACCGACCATGAGAGGGGAACTATGACACAAGAATGGAGACAAGGCTGAAAGAGAAGAAAGAAGTCGGAGTGAGGTGAAGTTGAAGGCTCATTGACGCCAGGAGAGCAAGCCCGGTAGCCGAGATGCGTCAGGAGAGGTGATGGATGTAAATCGATAAGTTGAGCGCTCAAAGGCTCGGGCAATATTTGAAGCCGCTGCGCTGCAAGCCGCAGACGCAGCAACGATGACCTCTGGTGTTGCGATGGGGTTTGTGATAGCTGAACCCTGCAGCATGAGCGCAAAGTGCTCCCCCAATCAGGGGCGCCTCTGGGGAGCTTGAAGAGCCCGATTGGGGGCGGCTGGTGCCCCTCAGACTAGCGGCTTAGGCCTGGCTCAAGGCTTGCGTTAGTGAGAGAATAGGGGCACCTACGGCACCAGGGGGGCCGGGTTGGAGGGTTCCGCCCAACTGCACAATCTCGTCATGCCGTCATGCGTCTTGCATCCAAAAAAGTCGCGTGCGGTCGAAACCTCCGTTTGCCTAAAAATGACACATACAGACCAAAAATTTTTCAACCCCGGCAAGCCCAACTGATCGGCAAAGAGCCAGGCCAGGGCACGAATGAGCTTCCTTAGCCAGCAGCACATGAAGAGAACCTCGAATGCAATGATCAGCATCAATGGAATGCAGCAATAATAACACCAGGCAGGCCTTTTCTGGTGCTGTCGGTCGATCGTGCGAGCGTGACCCGGAGTCTCCTATACCGTCAGCTACCACAAAGTTTGCAGAAGCGCTGTCCATCAATTTCGGTATCCAAGCATCTTTCCGGAGGCTTTCAGATCTTGGGTGAACCCAAATAAGATGTCTGACGACGAAGCCGACCCTGAACTACTGGCCCTCCTGCGGCAGTCCCTAGGCTTGGGTGGACATGGACAAGCCCCTGCACCACCGTCCACGGGCGTCCTGGAGTCGGCAGAATTCATCTGCGACAACGCCATCGACGTCGCCATCTCCAGCGCCGGCACCAAGAAAGCAGCAGAGCACATCTACCAGCTCATGCAATCGAAAAGTTACTCCACGGGAACATGGTCAACGCACGAGCTCCACCCTAAACTCTCCGAATCCAGCGAGGAGGAAACGCTGAATTTCATCTTCACCATGAACCTCCTGAACTTCTCATTCTGGTCCGAGCTGCCTGAGGGCGAGAGGTTCGCGGTTGAGTACAAGGGTCGGAGGTGGACGGGATATTGGTCTCTCATCGCCGTACTACAGAGAGGCTTGAACGAAGGCAATGCCATTACCAGCCCGGACTTTTGGCAGGATCGTGATGCTTGTCCGGATAGTGTCTTGGAATATATCTTCCGGTCTGCCACGCAGGAACCGATACCGTTGCTGAGCGACCGGATCGCCATCCTGCGCGAAGCCGGCTCAGTCCTCTACGAGCACTTTGGGTGCAGGCCAGCGAACATCATCCGCCGCGCGGACGGATCGGCGGCGGCCTTGGTGAACCTGCTGGTTCAATACTTCCCCAACTTCCAGGACGTCGCCTCTTTCCAGGGGAAGGAGGTCCGCCTGTACAAGCGCGCCCAGATCTTCGTGGCAGATGTCTGGGCCTGTTTCCAGGGAACCTCGTACGGCGCCTTCTCCGACATTGACAATTTGACCATGTTCGCCGACTACCGCATCCCACAAATGCTACAGGGGCTGCACTGCCTGCTGTACTCGCCTCGGCTGGAATCCCGGATCTCCCGACGAGAGATGATCACCGCGGGAGAGGACATGGAAATTGAGATCCGAGGCTGCAGCATCTGGTGCGTCGAGCTGATCCGGCGCGAAATCTTGCGCAAGCATCCCGAGGCCAAGGGCAAGGTCAACGCCATTCTGATAGATTTCTTTTTGTACGATACATGTAAAGAGATGGAGAGTGCCGGCGAGATAGAGGAGTTGTTGGCACATCACCGCACGAGGTCGATCTTCTACTAGACGGGTTTTTCGGCACTACTTTAGAAAGAGCATCTAACGGATTTGGAATTATTCGGGGATTGGGGACATGCATGCATCAGCATGGGAGTTCTTCTTGATAGAGGCGGCTTGGACTCGCCGTCCTGCTTGGGCTATTATTTGATCGGAAAATTTGTCAGCTCCTGCCATTTTGCCCTTGTACTGTACGCCAAAGTTGGGCTCTGAATTTTGGATTTTGGATTTTGAAATGTTGGAATTGTCCCCTTAAAAAGGATAAAGGCACTGCCGTCTCCTCTGCAAATCTCAAGTGGCCCGAATAGAGCGACCCTAATTTGGCGAATATCTCACCCTTCAACCTCAACCTCCACCTCCACCGGCGTTCCGGGCCCTTTCGATCTCGACATGGTAAAAGGTGCCAATACCTTCTTCGCCTCCCATATCCGCCACGCTAGATTCTCGACTTTCCCATCGGCTTTGACGACCTCGGGCGCAAACTCAATCCCAAACATCTGGTGAATGACGTACACCACACGCCTGGCATATTTCCCATCTCGGTCGACAAGGCTTCCAAATGGCTCTTTGATCGTGCGTGGCGCAATCTCGGGGTCGCGGTCAAAGCAATTCTGGACGATCGGCAATAGAGTGTTTTCAATGGTATGGCGGACTATTGCATCACGTTCAAGACTGATGGGGGTCGACAGGGAAATGCTGGTGTCGAAGGACTCGAGATCGTCCTCGCTGAAGCGTGGGATGCGTACTTCGAACGGGAGTGAGATGGCCATGACATTATGCTTGCCATTGTGGTGATAGCGGAATTCAAAGACGCCTTGTGTCCACCATAACTTGTCGCCTGAGAAGAGCATTTCGCCAGTGAAGCATTCCTTGGTCTCACCTGTTTCAGTGGTTATCGTACTCTTGACGTCGCTGGATATGATGCCGACTTCGGAATCGAGGAGTTCGTACTCATCGCGGTTCGTGGCAATCCATCTTCCCGATGACGATAGTCTTGTGACTTCACGTGAATTGTTGTCTGACACCATATACAATCCGACCCAGTCCTTTTTCCCATGATTCAGCGGTGCAGTCCATTTAACTTTGATGGGAGCACCATATTCGAAAAGGAGAGCCTTGAAATCGTTCGTGCGTTCCGCCGGGAGTCTGCCTTGTTCGGATTCTCTTTCACTCGAGCGTTGAGCATGGGCTAGAGCAGACGCCAATGTTCCCTCAATGTCGAGCTTGTAGTCTTTCGGATCCAACCCAGCAAGCTCCGGCTCTATTCTTGTCATGGTCAGGCGATGCGGGTTCTTCGGCAGCAGGCTCTTGGTATCCTCGACAATGCTGGTCACGCCTGCTGCAAGTTTAGGTTTGGCCGCGTCAAAGAAGTCTTCCAGGACGTCAAAGGCATCACCCAGCATTTTGTCCAATCCGTCTTGCCACTGTCGCAGAGGAGGTGGAAGTGATCTTCGAAGACTCCTGACCAGTCCAGCATCTTGTCGCAGGCTTCTTCCATAAAGCTTTTGCATATGCGGCCTCTCGACGAATTGAATAAACGCCAAACTCAGAGTGTGGCTCAGCAAGGCGAGACAGAACATTGCTTTGCTGCTCGTAATCAGGGCTATACCCCAAACTCCGGCCGTTCCAAGGACGCGCTCTGGATTATTGAGGAACCGATAAATGCCGCCGTATGTCAACTTGGAAGAGTGATCGAAGAAGAAGTCTCCAAAAAACCAGCCGAACTCTCCAAGTTGATCGTAGATACTGAATGAAACCCAAAATTGAAGAGCGATCAACCCTAGTCCGATGACATGCTTGGGCAGTGCCATCCCCCCTTCCCAGCTCTGGGGAAGCCGATACATTTTCCACGCAGCAGCCGCAAAACTGGAATAGCAGAGAGTCATGCTGAGATGATAAATGCCTTTCCACTGTCTCCAGGCTTCTCCCGTGCTCTCACCGTACTTCAGAAAGTGGCGGGTCCATTTTTTCTTTGACGACTGTCTATTTAACAAGTAGCCAATACCGACCGAATACCAAATCCGCGAAATAGTGGCATTGATGACGAACAGTGCCTGGTAAAGTCTTGTGTTGGGGGTGAGGATAGTCAAGGCGAACAGATAAAACTGTATGAGGAAGACTGCAGTGTCTGTAGTCCGATAGAGATCGATATTGTGTATGCCCAGCAGATTATGCGTTTGAGACGGTTGTGCATGGGCAGGACTAGGCCACACTTCTGCGGTAGCGCTGTGTTCAGCCAAAGACTTGTCCATTTGCGCTGCTGCGGGTAACTCGTTGATGGCCCTTCGGGGAGGGGGAGAGTTGTAAGTGCGATCGATATGAGGGCTTTCAACCATGACCAAGAAAGCAAATTGAGCAGCATGGGCAATAATTGAGATGAAGAGGACTTTGTAACTCGCCGCCATCAAGGAGATTCCGTAGAAGCCAGCGTAACCGATGCTGTACATGGCTGCAAGTTGAGGTCAGCTTGCAACCCATGAGATTGAGAGCGAGATGGCTAGATAAGAACTCACGGTGGGGTGCCATCTCGAAAACTCCATCAAAGGTCAACTCCTGGTCGATGAGGAAGAAAAAGTCCCCCCAGTACCAAGCGAAGTCTTTGACCACGCGGTGTGCATCCAATTTGACCCATACGTTGAAGACGAACAGGGACATGCCAACAATCCAGCGAAGTGCTGTTAGGAAGACAGGCTCGGTGGCAGGGATATGAGCGCAGGACAGAGCAAAAAGCATGTAGGTGGTGAAGTCGCACATGAGAATCAAGTCGACCAAGCGGCGAAAAACCAACCAAGTATTGTATTCAAGGGGGGCGGTGTCGAAATCATAGTCCTTGGGAATTTTGGTCTCTAGTTCTCTCTTGATAAACGCTCGGAGTTTAGGGTGAGGATTTTCGCCATTGGCCGCAACTGGGAAGAGCTTCGATTTTCGGGCCCACCTGACCAGCAGCTTGTGATGGGATTGCATGTGAAGTAGGTAACCAATGCCGATATTGTAGCCGGCTCTCCAGCCCAAGAAGAGAATGGCAAGCACGGGTTTTCTCAGGTCGGAGGGTAAGCACCATGCTAGAAGACCATGTAGCAGCAGGATCAACAGCACGAAGAAGTCGGACAGATTCTTCGGTTCTTTGGGAGACAGTAGCTGAGAAACCATGTCCTGGGTGTACGGAACAGTAAACACTAGAAGGAAGTATGAGATTCTACCCTGAAGAGGAAAGCTGGGCGGTTGTAAGGTACATACCGGTGCCATCGGGAGTGCGGCCAAAGGTCTTGCGATCCTTTTCATCTTTGGCTTCCTTCTCCTCGAGGGCGTTCAGCTCGAGCACGGCTTTCCTGGCATCTTCTTGGGTATTTGCCCTGATGGGAGCATTACGTCGGCGCAGATTCTCAGTGGCGGAATCTCCAGTCGATGGTTTGGCCATAATTTCTGCCATGACGTTGGTTGTTCACGGATGATGGTGAAAAGAACTCTTCCGCGGAAAGGAAAAGCGACACAAAGCGGAAGAAGGGGAATCAGGCAGACGGTTTAGATCTTCACGCGGATCCATGTCAATGTTTACAGGGACGCGGGGTTGAGACAGGCATTGGAGAGGCAGTGAGTGAGTGAACAAGGGCCCATGTGGCAGTGAAGGGAAGCAGAGGTTGGCCAAATTCAATCGGATGTGGTGCACGGTCACGTGATTGAGTCGAAAAAGAAAAGTGGGGAAATCCTAAATCTTGGCAGGCCGCAAGGAGATAGGGTAGGTAAGCCGAGGCGCTTTTTCTGGCTGGCTTGATATGGCTTGGTCATGCCAGGAAACAGCAATGCGCTCTAATTTCTCCGAGAAGATGACGCATCAGAGAGCCTGCGCTCCCGGTGTAGCATGTCGACCTTGTTGCCATCAGCTGGGTGCAGATTCGTTTTGTTTTAAGGGCAAGCTCTCGAATTGCCTTGGTTTTGAAATCGTGGTGCTGGTGGACTCATATGAAGAGCAGTATAACTTGGATACTTTGCTAGAGAGATGTGTCAAAGGATTACAGGCGCTGAGTCAAGGTCTGTCCGCAGCCGGCCATCAGCGCGTCTAGCCATCACCACATTGAGCCATCACCGCGTCTAGTTCTTGCCCCCCACTATGTATCTCCGCATTAGGTTTGACGGGTCCAAACATCTTTCAAGGTCCGCAGTCAGAAGCTTGGAGACAGACGGACCCGAGCCAATATCACAGTCCTAGAAGTACACATTCAAGGCTGTCCTAGAGCTGCTTTCTCACCTCGTGACAGTACTTGGTCCCCGCACGGTGCTTTACGTTACAGGGGGAGCAAGTACTCATTGAGGGGGGCAATGTTACTTCGAACTGGCAGAGCGTTAACAACAGCGCCAATAGTGTAAGAGGCTCTCCTTATTGGCCGTGGACAAACGAGGCAATACAGTGCTTGGCCGAACGCAACGCCACTGCATAATGCCCTTTTGCAGCGGGATAGATTGAGCCATCTTGCCAAGCGCTGGCACGGTGGGACACGATGGTCGCCAGGATGGCGTGCATTATATTCTGGTAGCTCATGGCCATTGGAAGCAAACAATGGACAAAGGGATTCCTCGGCTGCCGCCTCGCAGCCAGCATGGCTGATGCAGGAAAAGTCCCTGCGCTTCGGCTGTGCCCAAGATATCTGGCAGATTGCAGGGCGACGATGCGACACGGAGCTGTGCCTTTGACATGATTTGCTCAAGGTCTGCTGACGACTCATTCTTACGTGAGATAGTCAAGCAATGATGATCTCGCTTGGAATTGTTGACGCTGCTAGAGTTGTGAAACGAGGATGTGATATAATGCTCAGTTTGAGAATGTCTTCCTTCTGAGGGGGTTTCAACTTGTTCCCGATCGGACCCGTACCTTGTAACCATGGTCGTCGTCGTCGGCACAGTTGTTGAGGGTCATATGCATGTCAACGAATTGCGGCGACAGCCCATGCAGATGGGTTTTTCTCGAGAACAACGCTTTCTTCCCCTCGGCACGTGATGCAGCCATTCTTGGATCGCTGATGGAAGCGTCGTTTTCTGGGTCCAACAGGTGGGCTCATTCTTAAGTGTACAAGGTCGCTGCAATGGCAGGAAGGTTGTGAGACAACAGTGAGAGGAGTATGGCATTTCACAGGAGACGAAAGTATTGCAGTGGAAAGAAGGCGGAACGTCACGTGGGGTGTTTTAGCTCCAGCACAGGCTTTCAACTAATGCCCAATGCCTCTTTATCCTGTATCGGGTATCGCATTGCATCCTCTTGCGCGGGATCGGTTTCAACGACGTCTTTTGGGGATACTCCATCCGACTGATACGGCACCAGTCGTGGACTCTGACAACATACCACACAATAGTGGGACAGGTATGTATACGGAGACACTGGCGACTTGGGATTGCGACAGGTAGTTAATAAAGCGGCATGAAATGGGGTAAATACTCTCAGAGGAGAGATATACAATTGACAAGTAGGGGAGGAAGTCGGAGGGAGCAGGTGTTTTAAAGCGGCGCATTCTGCCGCGAGCCTCACCTGACATCTCAGCCTCTCTGCAGTTTTTCCTGCTTTATCAGTGGCCATCGGCGACCCCAAAACCAATTACCAATCCATCTACCCCGCTGCTTTTACCAGACCACGGCTGCACGAAAACCTTCCGACACCCATCCTCTATCCCCTCCAGATTCTTTCTCACTCCTCCCCGGCCGATCCTGTCCCTCTAACAATGGCGCCCTCTTTCGACGAACCCGTAGCCGACGCGTTCGAAAACCCTTTGAAACGAAAGCCAGATCTAGTCGCTCCAGAGCCAGGTGAGGGGTTGCAGTTGTCGCAAATGTCTAACGTGGTCGTTCGCTAACTTGCGTCATAGAGCACTGTCCTGGTCCAGAATCCGAGCAAGCAGGCAAGGGTGACGCATGCAATGGCTGTCCCAACCAAGCAATTTGCGCCTCTGCACCGAAAGGCCCCGACCCCGATATTCCTCTCATTACCGAACGACTTGCTGGAGTAAGACACAAGATCTTGGTACTCTCTGGAAAAGGCGGGGTGGGCAAGTCTACATTTTCCTCGCTCTTATCGCACGCCTTTGCCGCCAACCCAGACTCGACAGTGGGCATTATGGACACAGATATCTGCGGTCCTTCCATACCGAAGATGATGGGCGTGGAGAGTGAAACCATACACGTTAGCAATGCCGGATGGAGCCCGGTCTGGGTCACCGACAACCTTGGAGTTATGAGCATTCAGTTTATGTTACCCAACAGAGACGACGCTATTATATGGCGAGGGCCAAAAAAGAATGGGATAATCAAACAATTTTTAAAAGATGTCGAATGGGGCGAGTTGGACTACTTGATTGTCGATACGCCACCGGGCACGTCAGACGAACACCTATCAGTTAATTCATTCCTCAAAGAATCCGGCGTGGATGGTGCGGTCGTGGTGACGACGCCACAAGAAGTGTCTCTGCTGGACGTGCGGAAAGAGATCGATTTCTGTCGAAAGGCTGGGATCAGGGTCCTAGGGCTGGTCGAAAACATGTCCGGCTTCGTCTGTCCCAAATGCACACACGAGTCACAGATTTTCCGAGCAACGACGGGAGGAGGTCAGAAATTATGTCAGGAGATGGGTATACCCTTCCTTGGCTCAGTACCACTCGACCCGCGAATCGGAATGGCATGCGACTTTGGTGAAAGCTTTATGGAGAGCTTTCCCGACAGTCCGGCCTGCAAGGCTTTACGACAAGTTGTGAGGACAGTGGGCCAGATGATAGGCGAGGACCCCGACCAAGTTCTTCCTGACGGACCAATATAAGAGCGCAACCATCCATTGTTCATGAATACTGGAGTTGGTTTCCTTTGATCTTGTCCGGGGTGGTTGGTGCAAACCCAAATGCTCATCTTTGTCCGGGGAAGGCGGGATTCTTATCACCTCTCCGGCCGTCCAGCCATAACAGCCTCCGAAGTGCAGGCACTGTTGTGATCTACTGTGAGCATACCAGATCAGGCACTCCCACGCCGCACTCCACATGAGCTCTGGCGTCACGTTTTGGGCGGCAGATGAAGCTCGGAGAGACAGTGACGGAACGGAGGCTGTGGGGTAATGGCCTCAGGTTGCACAGGGCAGAATGTGTGTCTCGTCCTCTGTCCCTCGTACCGAGTGTGCATGAGCAAGGCCTAACGCCAACACAGGAACTTGGACACCATGAACATGAACTGCATGAACTGCATGAACTGTCCCTGACTGACTGGGGCTCCTCGTATTTTCTCGTCGTGTCCGCCCCTCTGGGACAAATGAGGGCGAGGCGCGTGCCAAGACGCCGAGATCCACAAGTGGCTAGCGTCAGTCCCGCTGCGGAAACTCAGACCGAAGATGAAACTCAAACTTCTGCGCCTTCAGTTTCACCTTCACCCCTTTTCTCTTCCATCCAACCCCATCATTTCTCACCAGCGCAACTGAGAACCACACATTCCCATCCCCCTGGCCCCCGTTCGGTAGACCTCCGACTCTTCAGCCTCGACAAGCAAACGGAGTTGCATCCACATCCAGTGGCCTCAACGTCACACTGCCACCGCCATGCACTCCTGTCCGCCCCTATGGTTGGCTCCCTTCGGATCTGGCCAGTCGAGAATCATGCCGTCGGTGGAGAGCTCCCTTCTTGACACCGAGATCCCCTCCCTGGCTCTGGGCCTCAATCGAGAGCTCACCAGGTCCATCGTTGACCTGTTGATCACGATCCTGAGACATGCAGATGGCGTGGCCCAAGACTGTCTAGCACAATTCGAGACGATGCCGCAGCACTGCGGAGTAATTCTACCAACATCCAGTTTACACTTTTATTCTGTTAAAATGTTGGCCTCCAGTCCGTTTCTTCACTCCTCCATCCTTGTTGTCTCTCCAGCCTTGTCACTTTCCTTTTCGTACAGTCTATCATTTTTCTTTTTGATACATATCGAGGGCCGGTCCTTCACGATATTCATTTCTTCAATCGCCCTCGAGTTCAATTTGACAGGTCCGGTACCCGTAGGCTGAGCTTCGCCGATCTCTTTCATTTCGGCCATATCCTTACCCAGGTCGTTGGCCCAGTATGCTTCAAATCTATACTTTGCTTTTGGTCACTCTTTTCTTGACAACAATCTCCGCGAGCCCTATCCAAATAAAACAGAAACGCTCTTTTAAAGTCCCTCGGATACAGCAACACAACTACAGGCCAAATGGCAAAGCTGCATATCGAAAGGCAATGTTCAAATTTGGATTTGGCGACATCGAATTCTTGCCTGGTGGGGAGGTGGCCACGACCATCAAGGCAACCACCGAGGCTCAGCTTGATACCACCGGAAATGAGGACGGCGAGACAAGTGCTTCGCCCACGCAGAACGATGCCCAATTCTTGTCTCCGGTGAACGTTGGTGGACAAACGCTGGTCCTGAACTTTGACAGCGGCTCATCAGACACGTACGATGTCACTTCCCATGCTTGCGTTTTGTTGTCTACGACACATTGTACTGACACAGACATCAACGAACAGATGGGTTTTCAACACCAACCTCCCTGCCAATGCCCAACAAGGCCACACGATCTACGATCCCACCAAATCAACCACCTTCCAGAATACTCTGCAGGGCAGTACCTTCAACATCTCGTATGGCGATGGCTCCTCTGCCTCCGGTCCCGTTGGGGTTGACGAATTCGACATAGGCGGCGCCACCGTAGCTGCCCAAGCAATCGGCCTGCCGGACACCGTCGCCGACAGTTTCGTGACAGACTCTGCAGCAAACGGTCTGGTTGGTCTCGCTTTCTCCCAACTCAACACCATTCAACCCACTCCGCAAAAGACATTCTTCGACAACGTCCTTCCCGACCTCACGCTTCCAGTGTTTACTGCTCAGTTAAAATCTGGCGAAGTAGGTTCGTACGAGTTTGGCAACATCGACACCTCGTCGTTCAGCGGCCAGTTGACCAGCGCGCCAGTCGACTCGTCGCGCGGCTTCTGGGAAGTCGACTCCGCGACGGCCGCCGTGCAAGGCCAAACCATCAATATTGCTGGCGGCACAGCGATCCTCGACACAGGCACGTCACTGATGCTCGTGCCTGATCAAATGGTCACCGCGTACTGGGGCACCGTGGATGGCGCCCAGATCTCACAAGCCGCCGGTGGTGTTATTTTCCCGTGCAACACGCAATTGCCGGACTTGCAGGTGGCTATTGGAAATAACATGGCCACGGTATCAGGCGACGGGATGAACTTTGCCAATGTGGGCACGGACACGCGGACAGGAGAGCAGTGTGAGTGACCTTTTATCTCTACCCTTTATACCCCACCCTGCCTTACCCATAGATTTTGTTTTTATCCCGAGAAAAAAAAGTAGTACAAACCAGCTGACGATCCCCGTTCGGGTGGGTGTGATGACAGTCTGCTTCGGCGGTCTCCAATCCAACCAGGGTCTCCCCTTTGCCATCTACGGCGACGTCTTTTTCAAGTCTCAATTCGTCGTCTTCGACGCCTCAGGCCCCTCTGTCAGTTTTGCACCGCACTCATAGCGCGCGCGCGCACCGCCGCCGCCTCTGGAACGAACGAAATACAAGATTTGCTGGCTTTTGCATATTCTAGCGCAGGAGTTTCTCGTTTCTTTCGTAGGGAAAAAGATACCATGCATGGTTTATAGATGGTCGAGGCACGGCACTGCATTGCAATATACTGCATTGGCTGAGTGGGAGGGAAGGGAGGACCGGACGGACCTTTGAAGTCGATACATGGCCTTTTTGAAAATACATACCGTAAAATGACATGACATATGATAACATGACGAATTCCGTGCGTCTTTTCTCGCTCGTGCTACCTATTTACATACCGTGAGTTCCTGCGACGCAGTTCGGTACGGCAACAGGAGAGACGCCCTGCAGTGGATTGGTATGGATTGTATTGCCTCGCATTATAGGACAGGACAAAGACATGGCAAAATGGGTAACACTGATAGATGGGCATAACATACCTGCCCTCATGGTACACATTATATACATGTATGTTAGTCAACCTACCTCGTACCTAGGTAGACATGGCAACGTTCCGTCGTCGTCGTCGACACGGGCAAGATTCATTCGTATGCATATGCGTACGATTGGAATGGATTGCACTGCATTAGACTTGGAAGCCCAACACGGATGAATAAGATCATTCAACCTGGACGATCAGATACTCTCCTTTCCTCCTAGAATTCGTTCTGTTGGGTTTTAGTTATTCACAGGTTACACACACACACACACACACACACACACACACACACACACATGTTGATATTCATTTCTCCATAGAGGATATCCCTGCCATCGCATGTCTATTCTACGTACGTCCACGAGCGGAACGTCGTCTATCTCATCTCGTCCCTCGTCCGTCCCGACCATGACTTCCGGCTCTCATGACTGGGGCGTTTCCAAAACAAAAGAGGGCATTGGGGTCGCGACCTCTGATTTCCCCGGAACAAGGCTTCCTTTCCGCCACCCTTCCGTCTTCGTGGCTGTTATGTGTATCAATAAGAACAGGAAATAGGTATCCGAATCCCTCAATCCGCTGGAGAAACGCCATCGCTATGCAGAAGGAAAAAAGAAAACCCACGCAAAATACTTCAGCCACAAGGGTAAGCCGTAAAACAGTCGCACAAGGTCCGTTGAGATAACCCGACTTGCTGAAAACATCGTAGTGGTGCAAAGAATGATCGTAACCATTAGACATTCAGCAAAACTTTTCAGATGTAGAATTTGCCCTTCACTGGCGGATCCAGAACCCGGTCACTGAAGCAACAGTGTCCAAAGCCGGTTCCGTCCTCATCCAGGTCACCACTTTCGAAGCTCTGAGTGTAAGGATTATGGATACCCAAGTCCATGACTTTGCCTGAGCCGGGCACAGCACCCCAGTTCAGCGGTCTGAGCACTATTTCCTCGCGTTCGTTTTGGTCAATGCCAGGCGGCAGATGGCACGCGGCACTGATGGCCATTGAGTTGCTCCCGATAACGGGCATTCCAAAGGGTAGCTTCCGAAATGACGTGGCGATGAGGAAAACGAGGAGGACAAAGCCCAGAAAGAGGAGGAAGAGCATACCTATCGGCGAATAGGCCACCGTGGTAATCTCGTCTTGCATGGGCACTGTCCCATCGCGAGGGATAATAGCAATGTTTGCCAGGAAGACGCTCTGCGACACAAGCCAGTGCATCAACCCCGAGCCGACAAGCAGAGGTATGCCATACTTGAACGGTAAGTTGAGGAAATATGTCGACTTTTGCTCGCCTTTGGCCTCACTAACTCGCAGATACTTCCGTCCTCGACCAGCCGTGACACTGAACCGCATCAGTTCGCGTGACAGGAACATGACTGTGAAGAGACTGTTGTAGCAAACGTAGAGGAAGGAGAACAACGCTTGCGGAGCGTTGGCTATGAGTGTGGAAATGGCGATAGAGGTGTTGCCGTAGCCCGGTAGATTCCACCCCATGATCAGATTTTGGGGTTTGACCGTATTCAAGCCGATCGACCATGCGTTCTGGATGGTTCTGTCGCCCTTGAGATTCTCGATTCCAAGTGCGAGGCAGACTGCCGTCCCCGCGCCCACGAACGTGAACAAGCCTAGTAGAAAAGCCCACTGTTTCCAGGTTGCGGCCTCGAAAAATCGATGCTGTTGAGGGTCATATCTCATGGGCATGGACTTGTAGCCAAGCTTGGACGAGGCGACAATACTCGAGTGGCTTGCCAAACACATTCCCTCCGTCGTGGAGTCAGGATTGCGCAGAAAGGACTGTAGTGCGTCCCCCACGGTCACCAGGGGAGCCTCGCCTAACCAGAAGGTAACGTAGGCAATTCCGACCACTTTGAGAATATTGAAGGCCAGAACCACGCTCATAAGGATGAGGGAGAAATGCAAGTGGCATTGGGATTCCACGGGCTCCGAGAGGCAATGGTCGACTTCAAACCCGCCGGTAGACCACTGATCCGCGATATCGACCAATTTCGGCGTGATCTTCGAGCATGGCACAAACCCCCATTGGTTCTCACAGCATGCGTGTGTTCGGTTGACAACATCAGGATCGTCGCAGATCCACGCAAAAGCATTGTACTTGCTGGTGATGACCTTGGGGAATTCGTTGTCGGCAATCTTGAAAAGGGAACCCTCGTTTGCAGGAGGATTCTTGACCACCACTATCACATTACGGCGATCCTCAACAAAATCCCGTGCATATGCGTGAATGCAATCCTCATTGTTGAGCCTGACAAAGTCCTTGGCGGCATGGGCCTGGATATCGGTAACATTGCATTCTTCGCTGTCAGGAAACTGGGTCTTGTCGTAGCTAGCGCCCTGTGCAAAGCTTTCAGAGGCGTACAGGACACTATAGTTGTTCGTCGCAAGGGCAGAGTAGAAGATGGAATTGTAACTAGACCGTTAGCCCTATGCCACTTGCCCTCACATCCAAGCGATGAGACTTACACCAGATGGAGTGGGATTGATGAAACCCCCAGAAGCCACCACAGAATGACCTTCTTCCTTCGCAAAGAACCGAGATTTCGGATGCTGGGTATGCCGACGTCCAACCATCTCTGCTTGGCGTGGGCCTTGTCGAGTTCGCTGCGAGTGGGAGACGAGACCAGTTGCATGCAGTAGTTCGAGCTTGCCAGCAAAACGGTGGCCACAATATTGAGCGCCAGATGAATCCAGGTGTCCTTCATTTCGGTCTTTGTACAACTCCCGGCATAGACCATGTAGATGCCTGACTTGGGTCAGTATTTCTCTCTGGACTAGAGTACCGGCCATTCAGGTCCAACATACCACCCATCATATCCATACCCCCCGTCACTATTCCAATGGTCAAGCAAACATTGGTTACCAGCACCAATACTGCGCAACCCAGCGCTATCCGCGAACTAGTCCTCCATCCTCTTCTTTTCCGTTGCGACCGCGCAGTGCTCGCCTTGCTCGGGGATGGGAGGAGGGGTTGTGGTGTACTGGCCAGAGGATCCGGAGTGTAGGCTGTGTTGCTGTTGAAGTCTGGACTGAAGAAGTTCGCGCTCGGCAGGCTCGAGCCGCCAGTAGGAGGCAGGGGAGTTAGTTGGACATTGTCTGCAGACCCCAGCTGTTGGTAGGGTTGTTTGAAGGGCGGCCAGTGTGGAATGTGTCTCCTATAGAAGTAGGTCAGTTACACCCGTCCGACTTGGACTGGCCCAGCCCTCTTGGAAGGACGTTGTCACTCTCACCTTTTTGCGCCGGACTCCATGACGGGCGTTGATCGTCGGTCACGAAGAACAGCAGATCATCAAGAGAGAAGTTGCAACAAACAGTGGTTAACAATCACGCAAGCAACGAACCTACCATCAAGTTCACGCCATCGCATAGCATGGGTTCAGGGCTGACACCGACATCCCGACACAGTGTTGTATGTTGGCTTTTCAGCTGCTCAGTTCTGGCCATGATGTCGGCCCAAAAGGAGATAGCTTACGGCGTGGGCTGGCAGCCGCACACAGCACAACCTTTCAGCGAGTGGGTTAGTGAGCCCCAAGATAGAACATCGGGCAGGGGTTTTCTTTGGTAAGCATCTGGAGAACGAGCTGGTGGGTGGCTGGCACCCCAGGTGGTGGCACCCAGCCAGTAGTGGTGCGAGAACCAGCGAGTTATTACCGAGTGCTCATATCTCGTTGTGGCCAAGTGGCGCAGGGAGCAGGGCCACTAGGGCTAGCTGGCCCCCAAGCCTAAATTGGCTTACACCTACTTCCAAGTACAATATTGTTGACTGGCCTAGCGAATCCTACCTAGAAAGGGTGCTAATCCAGTACGTTTCAGACTTGAACTCCGTCTTGCCGTGGCTAACTTCTCCCGTTGCCTCAGGCTGGCATCGCAACAGAACGGGTCGAAGTCTGAATACGAATATTGGGACCCTCGACACCGATTCTCGTCACTTCTGCATATTCTCACACTGGTTGAATATCTCCTGCGGACGTCCTTTATGGCCGTGCCGAGTACTTCCTCATTCTGCCACCATGGACAGGCAGTTGTTACAGATGCATCCACCATCCCAGAGATGTTCAGGAGGCAGACATCCACCCAATCGCCAGGTGGTGCCAGGCCTCCCATGCCGTGGAATTGAGACCTGGGTCTGATGAACCGGAACATTGCCGATTTTATTTCACACCTCGTTTAAAAACTTTGGAAACAGACCAATAGGAGGGAGCGCCTGTCTCGCGGCTGAATATACGAGGAGGCGCGCAAGTCGGCCTCTGTTCGTCTCCTTCGCTCGCAGACTCTGCAAGCAACAAATACGAGGTACAAGCAAGAAAGTGTCAAACAAGAAAAGAGACCAAGACACTCCCCGTATTTGAGATGGCCCGAGGCACAACATATCGGCCTAGATCCAGCTGGCACGCAAGTCAGAATTTGGACTGCGCCATCCCACAGGAGCTGAGCGGTGGGATTGGTGTACGGCGTACGCACAATATGTACGAGTCGAAACCGATTACTGAAAGCATTGCCCTGCCTGTGCAAATTCAGAGAGCTACGGACCCAAGTCCTCGATCTTGAACAGGAGTAGACGTTTCGTTATTGCTTATGCTCAACGACAAGAGTCTACCTTCCACGCCCTCCTAACCACCAAAATCAAATGTACTGCAAGGATGTTGTATTTTTCTCTACCAATGTCCGCTCAAGCGCCGTTTTGCCCAACCTCTTTTTCCTTTTCCACCTCTCGGGTAATGATCTGGCGAATCCCAGCCAGTCCCTCCGTCGCCAACACCTTCAACACCTTTCTTTCCTTGTCGCTTAACCCGATAAATTCTTGAGGCAGGATCTTGCTGAAGTCGAAACCCTTTTCTTCCTGCAAGGCCAATTCGACTGCGCCGGCAAATTTAGCAGGGTGGGCCGTCGCTAGCGACACGATTGGCACCTTAGATGCTGAGCCGGCAGCCGAGATTTCTCGCAAGCTCGCAACCACGCCGATCGCAGAGTGAGGATCAAGCACATACCCTTTCTTGGAGATGGCGTCCCCTCTGTAGCAATCTCGAATGGCTTCCAGAGTTTCTAAGTTGCTGACTCTAGAGCTGCCAAAGATGTCACGCGCCTTGTCCAAAATTTGCCTATCCACGGTAAATGATCCAGTCTGTTTCAACTCTTTGAACCAACCATCAATCTTTGACCCAGCGACTCTTACTGAAGATTCGACTTTGACGTGGGGGTTTTGATCGAGCTCGTGTTCTAGGGTCAAGTGCCAGAGGAGCCGTTCGAAATTCGAAGACACAAGAATATCCATGGCGGGGCTGTATGTCTCCTTGACGCCATCCTCATGCGCCTGAGCACCGTCTGCCTTGACGCCTTCGTGCGGCTCCTCTGCTGGCTTCTGCTTCTTTGTGTATGAGCCCGTCTGCCAGAAGCGATGCAAGATGTCATTCTCGTTGGTCGCGATCACAAGTTTCGCCACTGGTAGTCCCATACGCTTCGCATAATAACCGGCCAAGATGTCACCGAAGTTGCCAGTTGGTACCACATATTTGACCTCCTTCAGGTTAGGCTGCTGTTTGAGAAGCTGAAAGTAGGCATAGAAGTAATAAGTGATCTGAGCCAATATCCTCGCCCAATTAATCGAGTTGACAGCCGCCAAGTGGTGGATTTTATTCATTTCGGGATCTGCAAACAAAGCCTTGACATAATCCTGGCAATCGTCAAACGTACCTTGGACACTCAAGCAATGTACGTTGGGGTCAAGAACAGTCGTCATCTGTGCTTCTTGGACTGGCGAGACTTTGCCGTCAGGAAACATGATGAAAATGCTGACATCCTTCTTCCCCCGCAGCCCGTAGATAGCTGCCGATCCAGTGTCGCCCGAGGTCGCCCCAATCACTGTAAGGTGATGGCGCGCATGGCCCGTCTCCAGTTTCTGGTTCTTGCGCACGAGGAAGAATTCGAAGAGATTTCCCAAGAACTGCAGGGCAACATCTTTGAAAGCAAAGGTAGGTCCGTGGAAGAGTTCCAGTAGATGGAGATTCTTGCTCTCGTCTAACGTGACCAACGGCACCGTCTTTGGGTGCTTGAAAGTCGAGTAACTCCGGTCGACAATTGATTTGAGCTCTTGATCCGAGATTTCATGCTCGTCGATGTACAGTCTCATGACCTGGAAAGCCAGGTCCGAAAAGGAGAAGTCTTTCCATTTCAAGTACTCTGAACTGACATTGGGCACGGCATGAGGATGGAACAAGCCTCCATCAGACGCCAACCCCTTGAGCACAACTTCCTCGAAGCTGAAGAATTCCCTTAACGATTGGTCATGATACCGGGTGCTGGAGTATTTGGAAGTTGTGGTTGCCATGGTGGAGAATGAGAGCAGACGAGCTGCACTGGCCGAATAGGTCAAATAATGGTTTTCGGCTCCCTTTTCAGCGCCAATCTGAACCCCTGTCACACAATGAGCTGGACCACCGCCTAACAGGTAAGCTTAGGCAAGAAAAGAGTCGTTGGGAACGATGGTGCTGTCATAACGGCCACGGTAGTGACTCCGTCGTCTGAAAAATTTCCAGTATTCGCAAGGAGTGGACACTGAACCGATTTGGCTGGTACAATCACGTGATTTAGTTGCCAAGGAACCAGCAGCTCATCTCGCCAAGGTTGGACGAGGCTCTAATTCAGTACTAACCTTGATTCGGGTAGCGCTCTTGGCGTTTGTCGAAAAATTTCCCGGGTATATAAGTTGGCTGCGTCTTCCTCAATTTATTTTTTCTTTTCTTCATGTCGACTTTGTACGTTCACCCCCGTCCTCATGAAGTTGATGGTCGAATCCCCTTCTCGAGTGTTTTCCTGCTAACCGCCCATCTCCCTACAGACTTCATAGAATCATTTCTATAGTAAACGTCCTCTTCTGAGCTCTTCACACGAGCCACAGAATCCTCAACCTGGCTGACGACACAAAGTCCTCGGTACCCTAGAGTGAAGCCTTATGTTTACTCTCGCTGCGTTCTTGTCTGCGGTCTTCGGATCACGGCTTGAACAAGAGAGTGGTGATGATCTTTGACCTGTGTTTGGCGGCTTGGCTTCGTGCCGGCCAGCGCAGGAGGTACCGATGGATTTACTCTGACAGGCAATACTTTTCATGAGCTTGGAACCCTTGTTGGTTGGAGTTTGGGAAGAGTACTAGTCGTGGTAACACACAAACCTGCGTCGACATGAAATGTAGTGAGTCTCGGTCATGCCGTACCAGAGAATTCTATCTATTCCTATGTCACCTGGTAAGAGAGTTACAGACACCCGTGCGCTCTCTGGTCGACAACATCACACTCGAGGACAGATGCTGCCTTTGTATTCGCATGATTGCTAAAGACCACATTGCCGATGACTATTCAACAGCCTCGCTCGACACTCGACTGGCTCATCACGATAGAGATTTACCATGAGTGATTTAAGGATAGACCACATTTGAGATAAGCTAAAGGCCACTAATAACAACAAAACAATCTTACAGCCTTCCCTCACTTTCCTCGTCCCTCAACACCCACCTGACAAACACGTCCAGCTTCCCACTCAGCGCGTCCGCAGCGTCCACCAGCTCCTGCTCCACGCCCTCATAGCCCGCGATCAAGGATGCGGGCTTGTACCACACGACCCTCACGCCGCCCTCGGGCTCTTCCACAAGACACAACTCGACGGGGACACAAAGCCCAGCGTCGAGATCATGCTCGAGCATGGTGATGGCGATCATCGGATTCCCCAGAATGAATCTCTTACAGCCCAGGTTCCTGGTCTCCCCACTGGCCGTGACGACGATCGCGCTCGGCGGCGCGTACAGAGGCAGCCAGGCTCCGTGGTCGAATTCGTGGAAGTACATGAACCCGTGCGGGCCGACCAGCGTCCTGATCCGCGCTTCCCAGGACGCTCGATCCGTCGGTGGTGGTCGTCGTCGTCGTTGCTGTAGCTGGCCCTGGCCCGGTCCCTGATCCTGGTCCCAACCCTGTTGGACACTGCCTACGGACGAGCTCGGCGCGGGCTGGATTGATGAGCGAAGCCGCGCTTCCGCGGTGGAGAATGAGATGGACGAGCGGTATACCAGACGTTGGGCGTGGATGGTCTGCGTTTCAGTCGTGAGGGTCATGACTGCGGCGGACAAGGGCGGCAGAGAAGATGGGAGACAATGGTCTATAAGAAGATTGCGAGTGAGTGAGTGAGAGGGGGACACTTCTTGCAATGATGATTTCCAGACCACCACTCAATTATCGAGTCGTGGTTTCGTGGACATGTTCCGTATGTGTGTATATGTCCTTCGTAATTCCTGCTCTCGGGATCTATATACCATGTATGCGGCGTAGTCTGGGCGTCATCTCTCTTACGCACCGATCAAGAGCCCAGTCTCCGATGAATAATAATTTAATTGCAAGACCCTCTCTTGTCCCAAACTACATAACTAATCCAAGACAGAAGTTGTCTGTGATCAAACATAATCTACTTCCCTGTGGAAGAGCTGTTCCACAAATGTCATCTACAGTATCGAGGGTTGCTTGAAACTGAACACGTCGGCAGCATATGGATCGATCAGTAATCCCCTTTTGCCGACGGCCGTTGCGGGGAGAAGGATCATCCCAGTATGGACTCAGATTCAGATTCGCTTGCCCTTTTTTTAACCCTCTACATACGGTAATTATGATCACCACAAGCTTGTCCTGGAGGTGGCGTGTAGGACTGTCGATGGTCTTAGGGCTGCAAAGGTGGATCGAGATGAGGTCCGAGAGGTCTCACACGATATGTAAGGCTTGGAGTAATCCTGGTTTTTATTAGGAGCCGACACATGTCCTTGGTGGATTAGACTCGTTTCCAAACAAATTTTTTGATAGCTATTTGGCAACCTCTGATTCACGCCCTTCAGCGGCGACTTGTGCATCGCCTGGCAAAGAGGCTTTCCTCAACGGACTGGGTAGAGCTGGCGAGCGGTCGCTTGACTTTGACGATATTGACTGTCGTCTTATTCCTCGAGTGTTGATCGTCAGCTTGCCAGTTAACGCGGCACCGTTTTCCGCCGGCGCAGTCGTGGTGTCGAGCCCAGCAATACTGAGGCCATCGGATAGAAGAGCCTCTCCACCTGAAAGACGCCGAGAATGAGCTACAGATTGCCGTGTCCTGTCTTCTCGGATCTGACGCCTCCGCTCCTCCTCTGCCACCATCGCTTTCTTCTGACATTCCTCGACCTGCAGAAGGAAAAGGTCTCTCACTGGAGAGTTCTCGGACCCTTTCAATGCCTCGCGGGTTTTCGGGGACGCCCGCTTTCGACCGCCCGGACTGTGGATTTTCTTTTGGACCAGTTGGTCGACCTTATCCGTCGAAGGGGCTTTTTGCGGCGTGGCAATGGGCGGCAGGTGATGCGGCTGGTGTAATGGGGAAACTGGAGACAGGTCGTCTGCCGAGGGCCGGCTTTCCTTGACGGTTTTATGCTTTATATCGTACATGAGGAACTGGTACAGCTCACTTTGTCGGAAGTCTGACATGCTCGGACTGGGAGACGGCGTAATCAACGATGACTCGTTTTCTGAATCGAGGCCACCCAGGTGATACCCGCCAATCGGGCTCAAGACCAGATCCTTTGAGCCACTCCATCTACCAAACACGTCTTCAAGATCATGTTGGCGCTGAAGGTACCATTTCACCCTCTCGAGGCTTTTGTAACTCTCATCAAGGTTTGTTGTCTCTATGAAACATCTCGATGCATTTTCGTCGTCCCCACAAACATCGGCAAGACAGCCCCTGATATACCAGCATTTTGCGACTAGTGCGTCGCTCACTGGATGCTGACCAGCAAAACACAATGATTCGGCCTCTACCAAAGCTTCTCTGCTTCGATCGAAAGGATCTTCTTGGGTATCGACATCGTCATTCGTGGAGTTGACAAGGAGCAAATGTGCTCGGCTTAGGAGGGTCTCGGCGTATAACTCAATAGCCACACTCTCAAGGGCATGGCCTTCAGCACATGGTTCGCTTTCTTGCGGCGACGTGTTTTGCGGGAGGTCATCGGTATTGCAGCTTTCGAGAGGCTGGGGAGGGCTCGGTTGTCCGTGCGGCGGAATGTGACGAAGGGGGATCGATCCGTCCTCTTCCATCTTCGAGATAATGACAGTGTCCAAGTAAACTCAGGAACGTTATGAAGCAGAAGATTGCAAGAATATGAAACATTGCGACACAAGGCAGTGTAGTATGATTCACCTCATCGCTGGTGACCGCTGGCTGCCACGTATCCGAGAGCGGAATAAAGACACGCGAAACAAAGACATCAAAGGAACTCACCAGACATCAGCATAGCAGATAATTCAGCACTCGCCGTCCTGAGATTGATAACATGGTGCAACTGAAGGTGATCAGAAATGGCTCCAGGTCTCGAGTAGTAGCTGTCTTCAGACTGTCTCTTGCCACATTCAGTCTAAAGTGCAGCAAGGACAAAGATTGACTCGAGACACGCCTCAGTCCGAGGATTTGGGACAGACCAAGCAGAGTGTTTCATTGTTCTCGTCGTGTACCAGGCAGAAAGACAGGTCCAATTACAACCAATTATCTATGTTGATTGATCGGGGTGATCGGTCTAGTCAACAGGAACATCAAGGAGGAGGTACATACCGTCGAGTCGTCGAGCCGTATGCGGCTGATGGCCAAGCTGCGTGCATGCCAAGGCCTTGAGAGAAAGAACCACGGACTTTGATCCCCACATTCTAAAAGTCTTGAATATAAGCTATGATTGACATTTGATCCTCAACAATTAGCACAAATCGGCCGGATGGTGTAGTTGGTTATCACAGTGAGTACAACCCAATATCTGCCAGTACGCCAGCAGTATCTAACAGTTCATCTAGTCTCCTTAACATCTTAAGATAAAACGGAGAAGGTCTTGAGTTCGAGCCTCAATCTGGTCATTTTTTGTCTTTTTGCCCTATTCTTCAAGTAGAAGTCCTTTGCTACAGGGAAAAGCAAAAAGGGAGATGTAGAAAGAGAACAAAATTTTTGCATTGCGGTCCGAGAAAGGGCGGATGCCACAATTCTTTCATGCATTTGATCTAAAGTTACCATCTAGACTTGCTCTATCCTTGCTACAGTATTTGTCTAGTCTCACTTCTATCTAGCCTTCATGTCTATAATCTTGGAGGAGTAACCCTGTTTCTAGTCCAGCACGATATTACCGTTGGGTAGAGGCTTATAGTCCTCTTCCCCGGCCCATTGCGCCTCGTACAAGCTCTCGTCCATTTGAGAAGCATCCATCCCCATATTGACTTCCCTGTAGGCCTGTTAGCGCATGGATAATAAGGATTCGTACGGGATCTAACGCACTTGTCCTCTGCGAGCACCTCGAGGCCCGGAATGCAGTCAATCAGGGCGATGATCACAAACGATCCCACGAACGACCAGGTGAAGCCGATCAGTGCCTCGACGATCTGAATGCCCAGTTGGCGAATGTTGCCGTCAAAAAATACACCACCGTCCACTTCGACTCCTCCATAGGCGGCCACGGCCTTCTGGGCAAAGAGTCCGGTGCCGATGGTACCGAGAAAGCCGCCGACGCAGTGGGTGGCAAAGGTGTCCCCATTGTCGACCCACCGCATTCTTCGCGCAAAGGCGGTGAACTTGATGCGCAAAGCCTGGCGGCAGACGACGGCTCCAAAGATGCCGAAGAAGAGCGAGGTGGGAAGGTCGATGAAACCTGCGGCGGGAGTAATCATGACCAGACCGGCGATGGCGCCCATGAACGTCGAGTCCAGTGACCATCGACCGGTCTCGAAGTAGGTAATGGACGCCCACGTCAAGGCACCGGCCGACGCACACAGATTCGTCACGCAGAGCGCCATGACCGACTGGAAGCTGAGGGTGAGGGTGGTGCCAGCATCAAACGCCAACCACGAACCCCAGATGATGATCATGGCCAATAACTGACACATGGAATTGTGCGGCCGATGCAACTTGAGATGAGAAGGCGTTCGGACATCGGATCTTCGGGAGCGGAACACTGGATAGGAGAGGTAGAGGCTGAGTGCACTGGCCGTTGCACCACTGCAGATGTGTACCGGCGTCCCACCAGCAAAGTCAAGCACCCCAAGCTCACTGAGGAACCCTCCGCCCCAGACCATGTGAGCAAGAGGGCAGTAGATGAAGGTGGACCAAAGCTGGATGGATATGGTTAGTGGGCAGGAATCGAGGCTGTCAAAAGGGAAGCCGGGGGGGGGGGGGAACCATACAAAGATGAACGGAAACCAGGGATGTCTGCGACCAGGTCCACAAGCGCCTCCAGGGGCAGTGGAACAGACTGGGG